CAATATTAAGCCTTTAATAGTTCTAAATTCTTAGTTGGCAGATAAAGATCGTGCTCCGCATTCCTCAGTGGATAGTTGTGAGATGGCCTTTCGGGAATAGCAGATATGTGCTTGCGGATTAAGCAAACGGATTCAAAAATGAATAAAGAAGGAAAAGTCAGTTTTTTGAAATTTTTTAATGAATATGCTTTAGAGGTCCTTCAATACTTTTTAATTTTTCTGAATACACCATACAACTGAAGGATGATTGCAAAATTATCTGTATTTTACAGCCACACTCAGAACGATATTTTTTTATTTTATACCGCCAACGAGATGGGTTTAAAAAACCGCATCACTCACCGGCTAAAACAGCCTCATATTAAGAATAAAATCGTCCATCGCGAGATGCGACGGTATTTTTATTTTATACCGTGAACGAGATGTGTTTAATTTAATTTAATTGAAATTGAATTTAATTATTTGAATTTACTGAGAATTTTAATTTATGATAGGAGATCTCAGTGACTTTTTAAATAAAAACGTATTATAATATTTTGAGGGGATACGACGCAAAAATTGCTAAAAGCTGTTATTATAAAATTTTAATTATAATATACATACTCATAATAATCAACACATGTATACAAGTTAAGAGAATATAATTTTTTTCTAAATGTCAGAGTGTAAGAATTACCCTTACATAGAACATTTAGGGAGAAGTAGAGCATAAGTAGGGACAAGAAAATAGAGTTCAATGCCTTTTTAAAACTTAGTATAGGTCACGACGTTAAAAATTTTGAATCGGTATTTGATTCTAGTATTATTCAACGCTAGTCCCAAGTGCCAGAACTCTAACCCATTACGTTTTATAAATATAAAGTGATAATTATAGACCGGTTGTTAATCATTTATAAAGTTCCATACAAAATTTACCGTGATGCTTGTTTTATACCATAGGATCGAAAAAAAACGGCGTCAAAGACGGCAGGGGTAATGACAATCTATGATAATTTTGACGAGGTCAATCCCTTAACGTCATTTACCGAGGGTGCCATTTAAAAATCAAAACTTGTAGTCATTTCCGGTGAGACAGGAAGGGACCGAAAACAATTGACTACGTCAATCAATCCTAATTTATTTCATATACTAAAGTATAGTCTATAAAATGAATAACTTTGAATTTTGACCGTTATTTTTTACCAACATGGCAAATATAAAATCCCTCTAACAAAAAAATTACTGATATTCTTTAAATTGAGGGCCTGAACGAATCAGATAGGTAACTCTTTTTACTTTCGTGAAATAGAAAAGGAAAATAATAAAACAAGTGACAGTTCTTCCTCTTCTTGCAAAAATCAAAACGAAATGTCATAATTGACAAAAGTAAAATGTCATCAGCTTTTGACATTTCTAAATATTAGACCAATGCTGTCTCTAATTGAATAAATACAGAGAAGGATTTATGATCGTCACGCTAGTTAGATACTACGGATTAATAAATATGTTGTAGAATACATGGAAAAAGTTGTAATCATTCTCTCTCAGAGTTTGGTTTGTATTTTAAAATGATATAGTTTACATGAAATATACATAATATACAGTTAATAAATACAATATAATATATACCTATTTATAGTAATAGATACTTTGGTAAATAAACTATGAACCATACAAATGCAGCAAATGTTTTACAATATTCAAATATTGGGTAAAATGTAAAATATATTTTAAATTTTGGGGTTTGAAAATCGATCTAATTTAACAAAAAACATTCAATATCTACTAATAGTGTATTATTATTTGCAATCACAAAATTTATTTGTATATTATAATGTTTACTGCAATTAAAAACTAATATAAACTTGTCAAAAGATGACCACATATTTTTTAAATTATTATTCTTAACACAAAAACTATCTACATTGGACTATGGAGTACGATTTCAGCCATATTGTAAAATATTTGCTGTATTTGTATGGTTTATAGTTTATCTGCCAAAGTATTTATTACTGTAAATAGGTATATATATTGTATTTATTAACTGTATATTATGTATATTTCATGTAAACTATATCATTTTTAAAATACAAACCAAAAATACGAGGAACTACAACATACTTATTAATCCGTAGTATCTAACTAGCGTGACGTCATAAATCTCGCTCTGAGGCTATTCTATTAGAGACGGCATTGCGTCAGCATGCCCGCAAGTTGATAACCTAATAAAATTAACACTAGAAAAGCCCGCGGGAACTGTCAAATTCAAAGTTATTCGTTTTACAGACTATACCAGATCTCGTTTTTTTATCTAAAAAAATAAAAAAGTTATAGGTGTGAACCACTTCTGAGAAACACCCGGTATAGGTACACCTATGTTTATGTTTATTACTAGGTAATTTTATTTCCAATATTTTGACAGCTGCATGTGAATATTTTTTCTCAGATAAGTTGATAAAAAAATCGTTAATATTTTATTGCGATATAATGACGTATTGCATGTACAGGGGCTCGAATTCGACGCTCATCATTGGGATTTCGGAAACCGTAAGAGATACAGGATCGGTTAAATGAAGGCAAAGTTACTCAGTAAAATGCCGTATTGCATTTTTATTTTTTTTGCATAAAATATTCTGGTGATGGAATTTTCTGTACGAAACGTCGGCAAATATCAATGTGACTATATATAGTGTTATAAGAGTGATGAAAGGATTTAATTAAATTGAAAAAAAAATCAGGTCCGTATTTAAAAAAATTAAGTTGATGATGGTCGCCAGAAGGCGAAACGTCAGAGTCAATATTTAATCACACAGAGTTATAGAGCAGAAAAGTGGCCGTGAAAATGTTTTTTCATTTTAGGTTATCTTAACAAATAAAGCCGGAAACAATAGAAAACAAAATTGAAAATTCCGTTTTTTTTTTCGAATATATTCGAAGTATTCCGGATTTTTTAAAATGCAATACGGCATTTTATTAAACATCAAATTGCGCAACTTTTCTTTCATTTAACCGATCCTGTATTCTTACGGTTTCCGAAATCCCAATGATTAGCGTTGAATTCGAGCCACCCTGTACAAAAACGAAATATAAAAAAATATGTTAAATAAAAAGCATAATATTCATAAATAACATTCTCTACATAAATTATGATCTCATTTATGATCGGTATACATTTTGAAACTGTGTATAAAATCACAATTACGTATTTTATTGGTGTATCTCGCGAATAACTGGACAGTCGCTTGACCGATATACACTTCCACTAAAAAGAAATGACCACCAAGACACGATTTAAAACTACTAATAATACACATCCTTTGTAAAAGTAGGTTTCTGTGTATAAAATGTTTCGCCAGAAGTTTAAACTGTCCTCTATTCATTGAAAAGTACCGTGTACAAGAAATAGGTACAATTGTTTCTGTTTTCTTGTTTAGTTTCTTTAGTTTGTTCTCCTTTCTTAACTTTTACTTTATTTTCCGAAAATTCCGTCAATCGTATTATTGAACACACAAACCTATTAGTACATATAATCAATTTTATTGATAATATTCATCATTATTAAATTCATTTTTTCCATAGCAACTGTTAAAATTGCCTTATATCTATCAAAAATAGTAGATAAAAAGTAGGTACTTTTAACCGCAAGGGTAGTTAAATGCAAAAAAGCAATGCAAAGAAATTTCACATCTTCTGGGTTTAAAATTTTTGACTTTTTCGGTTTGTAATCGCTACATGACTGCGTCAAGAAAGCTATGAGCTTGCTATATCTACAAAGTTTAGATGTTACTATACTACTACGGAAATTCTGGCACGTTTTTAATTGCTTCCATTTTGAAAATTTTGTATTCCTTTTCATAAGTTATTCGGGATTTAAATGGAAGTAGTTTGATATGGCGTTTGTCACCTCAGCCTGAATATCTGTTGAATTTACTTATTTCGTTTTGGGCCATTTCTGGCTCTAATTCAATCAGCAATCGACACGAAAGAGAATTAAAAATATTGACTCAAAACTGACAACTAAAGAGGCAACTTTATTTATTTGTCAAATTACATAGAAACCAAAGCCAACCCAGCACAATAATTTTTTTCTACTCATCATAAATTCCTTTGAAATAATAATTTCTGAATATTTTTAAAACGTAACTCGCTATAGAAAAATATTGTTTTATACACGACGATAAAATTGCATTACTGTCTCTCGAATTAATTCACTCAAGCGATTTCATCGCTCGTGAATTAATCTATTCGATCGACGATAAAATACCATTTTATCGTCTTGTATAAAAATAACTATTTTTTGTGGTTCTTGTTTTTGAAAGTCCATCTATATTTCTAAAAACTTTTCTATCGAAAATGGCTTTTTTAATTCCGAAAACAAACGATTCCTTTTTTGACAAAATATTTAAAACTTTGGGAACGGCTTACTTTAGTAGAGACTCGCATTTTTGTTATACAGAGTATCCCAGAAATAAGTATACTGGTAGTATAGTTCAACCCCAGAAACACGCCTATGAGGTTTTTTAGCAAAAATAAATTTTGAAAACTCGAAAATTTTTGGAATTTTTTTTAGTTAAATAACATAACTTCTTGATAATATAGCAACAAAGGTAGTAGATTAAATTTACAAGAAAGAAAATCCAGAAAAGATCCAGTGGTTCTCAAAATTTTAGTAAAAAAATAACTTTTTTTGGAAAGTTTCAAAGTAAAATAACTCGTAACGTTATTTTGGACTTATTTGCAAAACGATAAAGAGAAAATATTATGTTTATTTTATCGAGATCTACCACCGTTTAAAATACTTGCACTTATTTCTGGGACACCCTGTATACTTTCTCCAAGACCAAAAATAAATATAATATTTTAAAATATAATTAATATTACCTATCATAATATACTTTATTCATCTTTTATTCTGTGTTCTCCAAGAAACGAGTTTTAATATTATATTTAATTACTAATTTAAGAAATTATTTTTTGACACAATCTATTTGCCAATGTCATTTTGAAGTATGTGTGACAATGAGTAAATATTAGTAGCTCTTTGTGAGGAAAAAAATAACAATTACAATATAAAACTGCATTAAAAACGCACAAAAAGTTGCAGTGAATAATAAACTCGTATTTAACAGATTCCAAAAATAGGTTAGATTAAATTGAACATGCACCGATTGCACTGTGTAGAAATATTGATCTTTTATAACAAAATATAGAATATTTTCCTAGTAAAAATATTAACACTATTAAGGTCAAAAAGGGAACAAATGAAAATAATTATTTTGCAATAATTGTTATTTTTAACAGTAATTAATTTTGTTTCAGTGGCAGAGTAGGAATTGAAGATGTCTAGCAGTGGATACACATGCATTAGAACGGTGTTTTGTTTTGTAAACGTGCTATTTTGGGTAAGTCGTAATTTTACATTCAAAGAACAGATCGATACTGTTCGACACCTCCAGAATAACGGTATTTTAAAAGTTTTACGACTGTAGGTAGCAGTTAGATTGGTTTTGATTATCATTATTCACAGGAAGAACCGAAAGAAGAGAAGTACAGGGTGTTCCACCTTCGTGTGTTTTACAGGGTTTCTCGTTTATGAGTGAGATACAAAGATGCGGTTTTCACATTACTTTGCTAATTGAAATACATTGCGAATTTGGAATTGTTACATTTTTCTACACCCCTCGTATTTCGGTTATCTTACAACTTAGAATTTTTCTCGTAAAATGCAGTGACATAAATAATTCTTCATTAGGCGCTGTCATTTTAGAAATATGAACTTACATATGTGTTTTTTTAATGGACAAATGTGTGTAGGTATACCATCTTTAATATGATAAAAAATAGTGTCATACTTATGAGCCAGAAACACTGTAAAACACACGAAAATGGGACACCCTGTACATTAGTAAATATACGGCAGACAGAAAATTATGTTTATACTTTATTAATATTTCCATAGATACAGGGTGGTCCGAACTGTATTCCGGAAACTTCGACAGTATATTCTGCAGATAAAAATAAGCAAAAAAGTTCGTATAAATGTATGTCCTAAAATGCTTAGTTTCGGAGATACGGAGTGTAGAAGTTTCATTTTTATTTCGATTTTTTCCAAATAATTTCTGAAGTAACGTCAATATTTAAATGAAAATTGGTGTCTGGAAGTTTTTTGACATGAGAAGTTTGATTTTGATGCCAAACCAAACTCCTATTTGAAGGGAGCGCCACCTACATTTTTTTGTTTTAACTGTTTTTAAGAGTAATAACTTTTCGTTCGTACCTGTATAAAACCACGGGGGGTGAAAAAATATACATTTCCGTGATTTTTTACGTCTCTTGGAAAAAAGGGCTACTAGCAACCGTTCTTGAGATATTTAGAATGGAAATAGTCAATACATATCACTGTTGACAAAAAATTTGGGAACTTTTGGCACAAAAACATTTCAAATTTATGATTTCAGTCTAATAAGTATTTAGTCAACATCTTTAATTTATGTCAATGACGACAGGTATTGATAATTTCGATTCCAAATATCTCGAGAACCATTACTAGGTAGTAGCGATTTTTACCAAGAGATCTTTTTTACATAAAAAACGCCGTAAATGTATATCTTTTCACCCAGTAGTTTTATACATGTACGGACGAAAAGTTATTACTCCTCAAACCAGCTAAAAAATATATAGGTGGCGCCCTCTACAAGTAGGAGTCATATTGACATCAGTTAGACACTATTTTTCATCCAAATATTGATGTTACTTTAGAAATTATTTGGAAAAAATGAAAATAAAAAAATGAAACTTCTACACCCTGTATCTCCGAAACTAAGAATTTTAGAACATACATTTATACGAACTTTTTTACTTATTTTTATCTGCACAATATGCTGCCGAAGTTTCCGGGATACAGTTCGGACCACCGGGGGAGTCTTAAATAAGTACAAATATTTTCAGGGCTGGTAGATTTCAGGGTTCGATAAAAGAAACATATATTCTCTTTACCATTTTTCAAATAAGTCCAAAATAACCGAGTTATTTTGCTAAAAAAATGTTTTGGCTTAAATTTTGAGAACCTATATTGCCATATTATCAAGAAATTATGTTTTTTTTAAACTAAAAAACTATAAAAGAATTTTTTTCTAACAAAAGTAAAAAAATCCAATAAATATTTCAAAAAATTCCAAATATTCAAATTTTTTTGCGAAAAAAACTCATAACCATGTTTCTCGAGACGAAATATACTACCCCTAAAAATATTTGCATTTACTTAAGACTCACCCGGTATAGTAATTATGGTATTTATACTATACGCAGATATCTATACTTGTGTATTTCTTCTTATATATTATATGATTACTTGACCATGACATTGATGAATGAATTTGAAATTTGAAGTATATAGACACATATAAAATAATATAGATTTGTTTGCTTGATTCAAAATTTTAGTTGACTTAATATTGATTAAACATAAAAAATAGAGCCCTGGTATACCGATCTGGTCATCGAAACTGCGTAGCCTGGATTTTAACGAGTAAAGCTTGATTTTCATGCATCCGTTGTCCGACATACGTTGATACGATATTAATTTTATTGGTAGAATTTAAAGACTTTGATTGGTTAGAAAATAACGCAGTTTTTAAATTTATTGCATTTTCATGCCTCCGTTTATCCGATATACGTTGGTGTTATTTTATATTTTCGTTTCCATAACGATTTTGCAATTTTACTTATATTTTTATTAAGGTTAGATTAAATTTGTCAAAAAGTGTCAAAACGTCCGTTATCGTATGAACGGGTCCGTTGACGGGCTGAAGTAAAATATTTACGGATGAAAAGTGGCGCGAAAACGCTATGACCAATCAGAGCACCGTCGGACCAACGTATCAACGTATAAAGCTTGATTTTCATGCATCCGTTGTCCGACGATACAATGATACGATATTAATTTTATTGGTTGAATTTAAAGACTTCAGTTGGTTAGAAACGGTTAACCAATCGAAGCCTTTAAATACAATCAATGAAATTAATATCGTATCAACGTATCGTCGGACAACAGATATATAAAGAAACGGTGGTTAACCGTTTCACACGACAGCTTAATGGAAAATCAAATGTATTAAAAAGAGACAAAAGTTGAGTTGATACATTTCTTCTATGCGAAATTGCCGGATTTTGCATCAAAATTTGAAAAATGATACATTTAGGATTGGAGATTTATTTTTCACAATTAGTTACTCATTTTACTACAGTTGTAAGAGATTATATTTAGCTCAGATGTATTATTTTCATTTCAGTAGTATACCTGGAAGTTTTTAAAATAGTTTATTTTTTTCTACACACCTTTTCCTTCAAACGTAAAAACCGGCAACACTGTAAGTCGCTTTTTATTTTGTCTCTCTGTCTGTCAACCGGTCACTTATATTTATCTCTGTCGCATGCATTAAAATACAGTCCACGCAGATGAAGTGACCAGGGCTAGTATATTATTTTGTTGAAAATTCATTTTCAAAATGATTTCAAAAATATATATTATATTATAATCGAAAAATTAAACATATAAAGTAAAATTAATGAATTATTTAATTTAACGTGAGTTTTTTAGTTCTTTTTATAAACGAAACACCCACAGATCAAATATTAAGTAGGTGCTTGTGCAAAAACAATTGATAATATTATTTACACAATATCAAATTTCAAAAAAATGTATCAATTAAAAGTGAAATTTGAGAAATGAGATCAATATAACTTAATTATAATAATGCGGCGAGAAAATTGTATTTTAATAAATGAAAATATACAAATCTGGAAAAAGAATGAGACCGATCGTGCATTTTTAAATCACATTCACTTGCAATAGGTTTAATTAGCTCTTACTTAAAGACTTTCGTTAGCAAATTAAATTAAATACAAAACTACAATGAATTTTATTATAAAGATGAATACTTCCTAGACATATTACCCATTCTCACAGATGAGCAAGCGAGTTAGCAAGACTATTTTTTCCATTTCACTAGTCCGAAAAAGTAGCAAAATAAGCGTTCGTCATTTAACGTTTTATGTAAAACTGGCTAGGTATTTTTACACAAATAAAGAAGGAAATTAAAGATAAAGGATTATACTATATCCGTATTGTAGCACATTTTTAGAAAACTTCTTTATTTTTAAGATTTTGATGGTCAAACGTCAACAAAATGTTCCTTGTGTTTGGATTAAATTTTCTTGAAGTTAAAGACTTAATTTAAAATTCCGTTACAATACGGAAATAGATTGAAGATGCATGATGATTGCAGATTTCTGAAATATAATATGTATAGTTTCCTTCGTCCACACACCCGCTTTACCCGACCCCTGAGAGCGACCCGAACAGTACAGCGTAATAGACTCTTAACAGGACAACATCTTTCACTAATAGAACTATTTTTATCGCTGGAAAAAAAGTGCAGTATATTTGTACTTACCTATAACCTATAAAGCATTTTTTAACATCCCCACCCTACAAATGTATGAAATTTGCTTAGAATAACATATTAGCATAATTCTATCGGTGTTTACTGACTGGGAAAATAAGTACCGAAAATCTTCACTGCCTCCTGGACTATAATAAAGATGGGGATTTAAAACAGTCGATCGCCCTGTAATATGTATATGCATATGCATAATTTAAGTAAATTGTATTTCTTAAACTCATATCACGTTATATTTGTAGGTGACTGGTTGTATACTAGTTGGTATAGGAATATGGCTTCGAGTCAGTTATGAAGGCTATGCCACACTATTGCCTCAGTACGCCTTACTTAGCGCCGACGCCGTAGCCATTGTTGTGGGGACACTTACGATAATACTGTCCTTTTTTGCTTGCTGTGGATCATGGCTGCAAAGCAGATGCATGCTGATAACTGTAAGTATGCTCTTAAAAAAGACCAACTTTACCAAACCACTCAAGATTAAATCTTATAAGTGGTCCCATAAAGTTAAATTTCGTTTTTTACTATCTACTCGTTTTAAAAATGATCGTTGCATGATGATAGTTTGTCGTCTCTTGATATTTTGTCTATTTCGTTCTCCTTGATGTGATAAACGCAGTTTTATTAATTTGCCTTGATCCTAGTCTAATAGCAACTTTTAAAAATTTTAATATCATTAACTTGCGAAGGTTTTAAATAAGTACTCATTGATTCCTCATCAAAAAATATGAAGAAAAGTTCCTATAAACAAGGGGGTGGAAATGCATAGTTTTAGAGTTACAGGATGTTAAAACTTTTTAAAATTAGGTTTTTTGTAATTCTTAAATACCATTATTTTTTATTTGAAATTGCTGTAGGTTGGACTAACAGTAATATATAATAATAATATATACAGGGTGGTGCACCTCATTCGCCTCGGTGGATTATACGAAAACGGAAATTTAAAATTATTTTGAAATATACAGGGTGTTTCAGAACTAAGATCCATACCAAAGTTATATTTTTTCTTATGGAACACCCGGTATTTTATTTCATTTTTGGATTCTTGGGCCCAAAAAAGGCATTTATTATAAGGGTTAAATATGTTGAAAATCTTTAGTTTTTGGGATATTTAACCCTTTACTTCACTCTATATCTCTTGAGATACATTAAATAAAAAAATTCGTAACAACTACTATAGATATTCTGTAATTTAACTAGTGCACCCTATGCATAGTTTATGTATTTAAGAGATAGTTCCCTGCGCATAGTTAGCCTAAATTTGTACAAGGTGGCAGTCCGGTGCATAATTGCGTCGAGTGCAGGCGGGTGTTTCGACATGCAGATAAGTTTTTGACATAAATATGTGGTATTTTTTCAAAAATCCATTAACACTTAGTCAAGACATCAAAGAGAGGCATCAACTACTTCGACATTACAATATTTGTATTGTCTAATTATTTTTTGATTAGTTTTAATCCAGAAAATGATTAACGTATCTCACAGGATACACCGCCATGATCGGTATAAATAAAGATTTTTAAATTCCGTATCTTACAAGATACATCGTCATGTTTATGTAGATATTTTTCTTCCAGAATTTTTCTTTTACTCAAGGTTACAGAACAAGAAAAATATTATCCTTGGTTCCAACTGGTTCCAAAGAAAAATATACAGTCTGATACCCAGAGAAGCTCATCATCTGAAGATGAAATACAACATACATGCCGCCGTCGAATCGAAGAGAATGATACATCCTCTGCGCCATCGATTTCTTCCTCGCTAGAAAATTTAAGTACCTATATTTTCCGAAAGCGAATCGCAAAATATAATAGGCGATCATATTGCTCTTTCTCTATGATATTGCTATGAAAAAGCTGTATACTTTTTCAGAGCATTTCAAAACAGCTGTTACTAAACCTGTATTAGTAGTAACCTAGGACCTAGAGGGAATCTGATTCACCAAACTCATCTCCAAGGACGGCCACACCGAATAGTTTAAGAAAACTGACGCCTTCCAATTTCCCGAAAATATCAGTCAGTGTTTCCCCGGCCAGTTTTACACGTCCTAAAAGACCCAGGCTTTTGAAAAAATGAATTGGTATTAGACGAAGTAAGCCTTCCCTAAATGGGAACGTAAACCATTTGAATACTGCGATACCCGTGGCGATACTATAAGTAACAAAATTTGTCAAAGTGAAAATTGATATCACCTTACGAATATTTTTCTTTGTTTTTTAATCGAATTTGGAGGAGTAGAGAAATATTTAGAGTCTGATAACAGCTTCAAAAAATGGTTGAGGTTCTTTTTCTCAAGTAGTATGCAATGAAAACAAAGTTGTTATCGTAAAATGGTACTTTAAATGGATTTTTTTTCGAGAATTTTAACCTACCTGTGTAACTATTAAAATAATATCCAAAAACAATACGTTCTCTTTTGTTTATTTAGTCTAAGTTTTAGTATTTCAATGTTAGTAATAATTGGCAATGTATATTTTAAGATACATTTATTATTTATCATTAGTTTCTTCAAAATATGTAATGTATCCTCTGGGATACATATAAAATCTCCACCAAGAGGAAAAAAATTTTTTTGCATTTTTTCCTAACTACATTGATGTTACTTATTTCATTAATCATAAAATTTTAGACAAAATCAGAAATATTTTCTTTGCCTAGTACTGCAGAAACGTCTTTTTCTCCAGGATTTTTCATGTAATATATATTTTATATGCTTTATTACCTTTATATTTATAAATTTCTGCCGAAATATCAAACTGAATTTACGAAACAAAACTACACGGAGAGAATTAAAATGGCGTCGAAATTTGTTCCATTTGTTCTAGAACAAATCTGAAGTTGTCTCTGAAATCTGTCAATTCTAAACTGTGAAGTTAGATAATAGTTAAAGAGAAACATTGCTGTCCTTGTCTAGGCGGCCATACTTGTCGTCAGGAGATGACAGGAATGACACTAATGACTGTTTCCAATTTTCCTATTTCACTGTCACCCCCCTGGAAACTATACCTATCTAGGTCAGATTTTGAATAAAAAGCGATTTGTAAATAAAATTGCAATCAAGGTGTTGCCATGGTAATTTTCTAGTGACAGTTAGTAACTATTTTCAAAGTCGACATTAGTTTATGGACATTATTATATATTATTTATAACAGTTTACTTAAATTTACCTACAATAGTTTAACAAATAAGTATTCATTATTTTATCAAGAAAAATAAAGCACTATCTGCTGGCGGAACGAACAGATATGTTACTAGTGATTTTATTTTGTGACGCAAATTGCTTCCTGGCCTCAAGGGCTTATACTCAAATATATCAAAATAGGAATCTTCCTGATAAGCGTTCCTTTGAAAAACTACTTGTCCTATTTCGCAGAGCTGATATTGTGGCTTATAAAACATCTATTAGGCAGAAACCTGTCGTTGGAAGTGAAGAAACCACATATACCCATAAAATATTTTGTTTCTACATCTTTTCGTTTTCGCATAATCAATCGAGGCGAATGAGGTGCGCCACCCTGTATAGTAATATTTAATAATAAATTAGGTAAAATATATGATTTATTAAGTTTGTTTTAGTTTTATTAATTGTGATTAAAAAAATTGCGTTTATCTCATCAAAGAGGCCGACAAAATATCAAGAGATAACTTTTAATTGGCGCATTGAACGGCCTGCACAATTTTGATATCAAAAGAAAATAGTCAGTGGCGCACATGTTTTTTTTTGAAATATATTCCAGTGATAACCCATATGCACGTACCTGATGAATTTATCGATACTTTTTTATCATTATAGTATGTAGCGCTTATAGTAACTTTTACCCTCAAAATTTCATTCAAATCGCTAAAAATACTTGAAAGAAAATTATGATAAATCGAAAGATTATTAAGACTTTAACACCCTGTAGCTACGAAACAAAGTCGAATCGGACCTATGTTGACATGAAAACTAAATCTCATTTTTACGTGAGGAATCTCCCCACGACAGATGGCACATGTTTTTTGAAACACCCTGTATATTCGCTTATTTTTTGAATGTCATCTCTCAAAATCTTCCCTGTCTTGTTGGACAGGTTATTATAAAATAACTTGATATGTTTGAGAGAAACTTAAAAATAGAATGATTTCAATGATAACGACATTATAGTTATATTCTTCCTAAAAATAAAGTTCCCGCAATTCAAAATCAAATTCCACGGTTTGGTTTATTTTTTCCTCGTGCCATAACATTCATTTTCATTTTGATGTTGTATGTAAATAAACTTGGAGAGAAAATGAGGGGAAACTAATATTCTTCTGCCGCTGTAGTAGAATTAGGCTTACTGCCCAGTCCATTAAAATTGACGATTTGTATATTTACATGCGTTAGAGTACGCGTTAAAATGTAGCTGAAGTGCTAGTGATTAGTATTTCTTCACTTTCTACACTCCTAAAAATAGGTTTGTTTGTAATTTACGTATAATGACCCTTTGAACTACATATTAATCTATAAAATATAGTCGTTCTTTGAAACTATTACTATACACAAATTACAAAAAATAAGACTTCCTTTATTTTTTTTGAATCTCCATTCCACATTTTGATTTGATACATGCCATAAACAAAATTTTCATAGCCCTCTTCGTTTCTGAGCTACAGGGTCTTTTTGAAAATTTTGCAATTTGGGACACCCCCCGTATATCTGTTATTGTGAAAGGTATCGAGAAGGTGAAAACTGTTTAATGTAGGATTTTTATAAAATTGAATAGATTGATATTAATATTTGCAAAGGTTACAAAACAGTACTATTTTCGTAATTTTTGATTTGGGTTTTGACAATAATTATTTATGTTGTTTGTAATGAAACGATATTTTTATTTACGTATTGATATATTTCAGAAAGGATTTAAGGATTAAAAGATATAATATATTTACTTAATTTCAAGGTATCTGCATGAAAAATGAAGGCTATTTTTATAGGGTGTTAAAATAGATTATGAATATTTAAATATTTAAACTAACCTAAAATAAAACAAGATAACGTTGAACTACCCTCTATAGACCATAAAATAATTAACTAGAACTATAGACCATTCCAGAATGACGTCACTGACAGGTTGGCAAAATTTGCTGAGAGGCACACAAACCAATAAATTTTCACGTTGTCCATATTAAACGAACTTAGCGAAAAATACGTTTTTGTTTTTAAGACGAATTATGTTAGGAGATAAGTCTAATTCAGCCAAAATTTGGGATATTCTTCCTGTCTTTAACCGTACAAGTCATCTTCTAGATTTGGCAGATTAAGAAAAAGATTTAAAAATGAATCAGAGGTTTGTTATTTATACTAAGATATATACAAGCGTATAAAGTATTTTTATTTTTAGTTAAAGATGTTGCTATAAAAGATGAAAATCGACCAGTGAATTTTCATAATCCTCCAATCGTTAATCAACTTTATTCATTTTAAATCGTCGAGATAGAAGACGATAAACCCAAATACACGACAAGGATTGCACTTCTGGAAGATCAGCTGAATAAGAACGATAACAGGGCTGTGTTCAGATCAAATATTCAAAATACTCAACCGAGTATGCCTATAATACAAGAACTGTGGATTTTGAAATCCTAAGATATCAGCTGAGCCTCTATGAGAAGGGTCCTTGATACATGAGTGTAAAGTTGTTTAATAGGTTGCCACTTGTAGTCAAGATAATAGAAGTAAAGAGTAGTTGCACAATTGAAAAATTTGTTAATTTGATAGATGAGAGATTTGAATCTGAGAGATATGGCTCATCTCTCAGATTTCCTGTAGACAAGTCAATAAATATTGTGTGACGTCTTCTGTAATTCGCCCTCATAAAAATACCCCTTAATTGGTTGACCTATTGATTCTAGGATAATTAAAATTGAGGATTAAAGAAAATTAAGAATTAAAAAAAATATGACTATAACGCTATAAAAGACTAAAAACACAAAGAAATGAATGCAAGTTAATGGTTTATATACGGTTTGTCTGCCTCCCAGCGAAAATGGCGGACCTGTCAAAGTCACGTGTTCTGGAATGGTCTATTAATTGTTTTTTTTAAATTATGTTTATTTTTTCTTCTAAATGGTGTTTTTTTATATCAAGTTTAGCTGCAAACAAAATTTGTTAATTGTTAATTATGTTTTATATGTGGTGTTATCATTTCCAATGCCTCTGATGGTTGCAGCGATTGCAAAATCTGTGAGTTTTTTTCTTAAATAGAATACCCTCTATATTTATAAATCATATGATCATCTGGCTTCCTATGAGCTTCTGAAAAAATATATTTTTCATTAAAAGATAATTTTTTGCTCTTCACGTTTTTTGAAACACCCTGCATAATAAAAGCAAAATAAAAGCTTCTTATACTTGCTTCTATATGCTTCTTCTACTGACTTAGTTTATTTTTGTTTCTAGTACTTCACTCTAGTAGTGTTGATGTTCGTAGCCGAATTCTTGCTGGGATCGCTTGCTTTCGTTTACAGAGATAGCATCAAACACACTCTCACGGAAAAACTACAAGATGGCTTGATGCACCACTACAACATGAGTAGTTCCCCTAATAATTTAGTGGAAACATGGGATGAAATACATACCACTGTAAGTTTTTTAGAGAAAGCACAACTTTTTTAATTTTAAATGGAGCTGCATATCTGACTTTTTGTTTGGGAAAATTAATAAATATAAGATCTATACAATGTTCTTTATCAACAATATGTTCAGCAACGCAAGATTTATCCGATCTACCATATCTTACCTGAACTAAATGTTCTTTAAATCTAGTTAAAATTGATCTAGTTTGCCCAAACATATTTCTGATTACAATCTTTACATGAATAGAGATACAATGATGTGATTTTCACATTACTTTGCTACTTTTTTATGAAACTAAATATGCTACACATAGGTTTGCCCTAGCTTCCTTAGTTCCCGAAATACAGGGCGAATTTGTGATGCGCAGTAATGAATAGATCTTGAGTACAGACACAAGAATAGATATCAACCAGAAGCCTAACTTAGAGTTTGCGCGGGAAACATCGCCTAACCTAAAAATAGCGGTAGAACCTGTCAACGCACTGGCGTTCGCAGTTCACTTATGTTTTGCGTTTTGCTGAGAGCAGTAGCTGTTCGTCATTCGTAAATATTGAATATTGTAGTTTGTGTTGTTTTATAACTGAACGGAGCGAATAGTCTGGAATAGTTATTAAATATTTGTTGTGCTAGGTACATTATTTATAATAACTTCAAAGACTACTGGTTCAGTTTGTGCCTCAAGAATGTGCAAAAGCCGGAGTTATGTTTCGCCAGGACGCAAAATGTTTTACGATACGTTTGTGAATATTTAATAAAAAAATGTTTGAGTATACATTCATGTGATATATGTACCAAATATGCAAAGGCACACAGTGAGTTAGATGATACATCGTTGTTTTGCCATTTACGTGCCTATGAAAATAATAAAGAGTGAAAATAATAATTTAGATATTTTTGGCAATCTTCAGATGTCACATGACAATTTTGTATCTTTTGTTTCTTCATTAGAACTTGTTTTTAGTAAATATTATGAAGAATATGGGACAAGACATTTTATTAAAGAAATATATATAATATGCAAACAAATTAATTTCAAACATCCATGTACTAGTTTTCCCCTAAAATATGTAACTAAATTATATCTGCTTATGAAATTGTATTATACATTAAAAAAGATAAACCTTAATTTTAAAACAGCCAATAAAAACAAACTAATTATATGGAGGCATGAATAAATACCTACATAAGTATTCTGATGTTAGCTTGTTTATTTATTTCGTTTGAAACTTAAATGAACACCTACCCTATCTTTACAGGATGTTTTAAAACGGGCCAATTGAAGGTAAGTATCTCAAGCGTCCTTATAAAGAACCCAAAGTTTTAAATTTCAACCAAATCTCTTCTTATATTAAAAAATCCGCCATATTGGATCCGCTAATTTGATTTTTTTTCTTCAAAAATATTATAAAAGTGTCACCGGAACTCAATACGTGTGCAACATTTCGGAAAAATTGGGATAATAGAAGTGATCAATAAAGCTGCTGCCAGATTTGCAACAAACAAAGGTATGGTAAAGTTAAATAAAATCGTTTAAAAATATAAACTATTTTTATACCGCGATATCTCTAATGGTTTACTAATGCAGTGTTTTTTATCGCTGGCAATAAGTTTTACATTAAAAATATTACTCCATAAAATATGTTGGGACATTTGTACTAAACCAATATTACAGCATCTTAAACAAATTAGCCTTTACTTTTAACTTTAACAAACTCACCTATTAAAGTTTTAAGCAGTAGTTTTATTAACTGCCGAATGATATTAATTAATTCTATACTTTTCAATTTACAACAAAAAAATAAATACAACTCTGTATACATTCAACGGAAATTTATTAAATACGTCTCTGTGTTCTACCGCTATTAAATGGCGGCCCAATTCGTGAAACGTCACGGATTTCAGCTCCAGTTAGATTTCTGGTTGATATCTATTCTGTGGTACAGATACGATGCACAGTAATGAACGCAACGTCTACCGGCAGCCAGACGGTCCGCACTCTGTTCAGGAGAGCATAGCAAAAGATATATTAAAGAACCAGCTTACTTAAAATTCTCTCTCGAAAACGTTGCTAGCTTATAGACCATAAGTAAAACACCGAAATCGTTATGGAAATTAAAACATTAAATGACACCAATCACAAGCAAATCGTATATCCGATGAACGGAGGCATGAAAATGCAATAAATTTAAAAATTGCGTAATTTTCTAACCAATCAAGTCTTTAAATTCAACCAATAAAATTAATATCGTATCATCGTATCGTCCGACAACGGATGCATGAAAATCAAGCCAAACTCAACAATTTTGACAATATTACTAATTTCTTATTTTCGTTTAGTTTAAATGTTGTGGAGTAACAAGCTACATGAACTGGCACATGATAGACGCCTGGCCAGAAAACCGATGGGTACCTGACAGTTGTTGTTTGCCAGCGGATTATGGACCAGGTTGCGGAAGAAAACCTAATGAAAGCATTTATGAACCCGGCTGTTACGAAAAGATTTATAGTTGGTTTAAGGATAGACTGCTGGTTGTGGGTTTGTTGGGACTATCAGTAGCATTTGTTCAGGTAAACTTTAATAATATTGTGAGATTTCTTATAATTTTTAATAATTATATGATCGAAAAAAAAACGGCCTCAAAGACGGCTAAGGAATGAAAATTGATGATAATTTTAGCGAGGTCAATGGAGTACTTTATATGGTAGAAACTCATATTCAAATCTAAAATGCCACTAAAAAAAGAAAACATTCTACCAATGTGTACTACCAGTCACGACCTAAGCATGCGAAATCTAGACACTTAGAGGTCGAACACACTGACGGCCAGGTCGCACCTCTAAAACCATTAAAGCAAATGATACAACGCACACTAACGACCTGGCCGTTGGCTGGTCCTTGCGACCACTAGACTGCACTAAAATATTATTATTTTCTGCCGCTTGTTGCCGGTTTTCTTCCAAATTAATAATTTTTCAGATGAAATCCCTCATATTCAAAGCAAAATATTTTATTTTCTATAATATATAGTATTTTAGTGTAGTTTTTACACACGTGCAGAAAATCCAAAGAAATAGTATACAGACTGGATCAAAGGGAAACTTAAATCTAGTCCCTTTTTTATCAAGGGTCGATTCTAGTAAAAATTCAAAACATTTTTATATGACATACTCTATTTATGGTTGGTATGATACCTGTTGATGTTAAAAAATAAAAAAATCATATATTAAGTTTTTCTACAACCACTTGTTATTTCTTTTGATTAAATTAGTTTTTTAGTTGTATTGTAGTCATGTACAAGGAGGACCAACTGTATTTTAAATATTATATTTAATTTAACGTTTTTCAAACAGGGTCCATTAGACTATATTTCTACTAGGTACATTATTTTTTACAAAAAAATTAAGAGTAAAAGTAACTTAAACATTCATAAAAATAGAAATATTTACTGTTGTAGATTCTTAGTAACAATAAAAAAGAGGAATTTATATTGTAAACATTGAAATAATTCAAAGCTAAACTTTCTACCTGCTTATATTTAGAGCCAGTGTAAAAAAAAATCTTTTTTGAAATATGCTAATGATCCACCCTCGTTCCATTTGAAAAAAATTGATTGAAATGATCAAAAATACTTCTAAATTTGGGCATCTTTTAACCGGCTAGGGCAAGACACTAAAAACATTAGACGGTCAAATCTATTTTTCCAAGGCTCTCTGATTAAAAATTAGTGTTTTTAACACAGCCATGGCACTCTAGATTGAAATTTAAAATACAATTTGTTTGTAAGCGAGTATGTTAAAAGTTGACATATGATACGTCATTCTATTTAGAATGTCATTTTCTATCGAATAAAGTAAAAAAATACCGAGGGTGCCATTTAAAAATCAAAAAGTGTAGTCATTTCCGGTGAAACAGGAAGTGACAGAAAACAATTGAATACGTCAATCAATCCTAATTTATGTCATATACTAACATACCATATCTCATTTTTTTTTATCTAAAAAAATAAAAAAGTAATAGGGATGAGCCACTTTTGAGACGCACCCGGTATATACGGCGTCGTATAAATTTGCTACCTGCAATGTATGTAGAAAATTCGCTTGGCTTTTTATCGGGTAGGTCACATTAAAATCGGATTTCAATTTATTTCATTCTAGGATCGCTTGCGTTTGTCGCTTCATAATCGAGCGATGTCGGTCATTTCAATAATCGCATACTCGAGCGAATTTTCGCTCGAGTGATCCCATCACTAACCATAATAGTAGGAAATTATCAGGGATAAATTGGACCCGCGTAGTCAACAATAGGCCACAACTACAAAGAGAGTATCGAAATATGTGAGAGCGGCTATACCATAATTGGAAATGGTTGATCAATGATTGTCATTCCCCAGCCGTCTTTGACGCCGTTTTTTTTTCGATCGTATGGTAGTTGAAGATAAATTTTTTCATTTTTCCATTTTTGTTTCAGTTATTTGGTTTGATAGCTTCAATGCTGCTATTCTGTACAGTGAAATACAAGCGAAGGTCGCGAACATACAAGTCGTACCAGTAGGTTACACTTGTAGTCTCTGAATCTCAAAGAACATGCATTTTGATGTAATGTGATATCAAAAAGAACTGATTTGTTTTATTTTGCAACTTAACTTATTTTTTCTTTAAAATATATTACCTATACATTCATAGGTAAACCTATCTATACTTTGTTTTATAAATCTTAGTTAAAAATTAAGGTATGTAAATACTTTAGTTTAAAACAATCTTTATTTTAGATTACCTCACTAAAACTTCATTTTAAATTAGTGTAAATAGATTAAAGATACTTTTTCTAAGCCAGTAATCTACCCTTGTTTCCGTTTTAAATAAATTATTTTGTTATAAACATTCGACTTTTTATTATCTTTAGCCTATGTAAAATGGTAAATTTTTTATTCTGTACAACATAAAACCATGCATTATTGCAAAATATATGAAAAAGAGTTGGAGCAAAAAGTAAAGGAGCAGCAAAGTGCTACTTTATATTGCATTCATCGACCTAACAAAAGCCTTCGACTCTGTAAACAAAGATTCACTTTGGGCAATTATGCAAAAGTTCGGAGTACCCAACAAATTTCTTACAGTGTGTAAAAGCTTCCATAAAAACCACAGTGTGTCCCCATCATGGATCACTGAGCAATCCCTTCCTAACAAATATAGAAGTTAGGCAGGGATGTGTCTTAGCGCCTCTAGTGGTCAACATATTCATGGCAGCGCTCTCTATTATGGTAGACAGCAAACTGCAGGAAAGATGAATGGGCATTAGATACAGATGCAACGGCGGTCTGTTCAACATAAAATGGCTCAGGGCAAAAAAACATGTACAGGGTGGGTCAAATTCGACGCTTTTAAATGGAAACACCCTTTTCTATAGGAGATAGACGAAAATTAATATCGGTGTCTGGAGCTCAATTTTCATCAAAAACATGACGGTGAAAACCGCACATCAATATCTGTTACCGTTTCGGAGTTACGGGGTTTTTTTCAAAAATGTGCATTTTTAACAAATCGCTGTAACTTTTTTGCTATGGAAAATTTTGTATTTCTATGAAAACATTTCCAAAGCACCTTTTTACTAGTAGTAGAATGTAATGGTAAAATTAATAATTTAAGAGTTATCAACAGAAAAATGGATTTTTTATTTGGGACACCCTCTTTATTTTTAATTAACTGAAAAGAATTTAAAATTACTTTTCCAAAAATATAGCACACTTGATATTTTGTTATAATTCTCTTCGAAATACAGAATTTTTAAAAGTTCGCCACTTTTAACTAGTAGGCTTTGGACCCCTTATTGATGATATACCTCTAATGGAACTCGAAAACATATTTTTCCAGCAAGACGACGCACCGGCTCTGAACGCTGAAGTTATCAGCAAATTTTTGCAGCCAATTTCAAGAATAATTGAATAGCTAACCAAGATCCCAGCCGTTGGCCGTCGAGGCCGCCTGACTTAGTGCCCATGGATCTAATCATATTGATATATTTGCGAAAGAATAAAGGTTCCTTATTCTTCCGTATAATCGAGACAAGAATTAGAAATACTTAGCAGTTATGAGAGGGTATCTTTCACCCCTACTGAGTTAATGAATTCCGCGAGAAATGTTTAAAAACTGCCCCGTCTGTCCATAACAAAAGACGGTTGATATGTTGAACACCTATAGCAAAATCTCATGTCTTGGTTTGCTATTTATTTTTATTGTTATTAGATATAGTTTAAATGTGTTGATGTTGGTTAAATATATTTTAAATTGTTATAAAATTCTGCATCTCTCATACCAAATATTATTTTCGTTTTAATTGATGCTCACAGCTAGAATTTTTTTGCATTACAGCCGGTGCCGTTCAAAGCCTACTTATTTAAAGCGGGCGAATTTCTATATCTCGAAGAGGAATCGAACAAAATATCAAGTATGTTATATTTTTGGAAAGGTAATTTTAAATTCTTTTCAATAAATTAAAAATATACAGGGTGTCCCATATAAAAAATCAAATTTTTTGTTGATAATTCTTAAATTATTAATTTTAAAAAAAATATACTTAAACCATTAAATTCTACGTAAAAAGGTGCTTTGGATATGTTTTCTTAAAAATACAAAATTTTCCGTAGCAAAAAACCCCCCGTAACTCCGAAACGGTAACAGATATCGATATGCGGTTTGCGCCATCATGTTTTTGACAAAAATTGAGCTCCAGACACCGATATTAGTTTTTGTCTATCTCCTACAGAAAAGGGTGTTTCCATTTAAAAGCGTCGAATTTGACCCACCCTGTACAGGGTGGTTCGAATTCGACACTCATCGTTGGGAATTCGGAAACAGTAGAGATACAGGATCGGTTAAATGAAGGCAAAGTTGCGCAATTTGATGCTCAATAAAATGCCGTATTGCATTTTGAAAAATTCCAAATACTTCCGAATATATTCGAAAAAAAAACGGAATTTTCAATTTTCTTTTCTATTGTTTCCTGGCTTTATTTGTTAAGATAACTTAAAATGAAAAACACGTTTTCATGACCACTTTTTCTGCTCTATAACTCTGTGCGATTAAATATTGACTCTGACGTTTCGACTTCTGGCGACCATCATCAACTTAATATTTTAAATACGGACCGGATTTTTTTTCAATTTAATTAAATCCTTTCATCACTCTTAAAACACTATATATAGTCACTTTGATATTTGCCGACGTTTCGTACAGAAAATTCCATCACCAGAATATTTTATGCAAAAAAAATTAAAAATAAAAATGCAATACGGCATTTTATTGAGCATCAAATTGCGCAACTTTGCCCCCATTTAACCGATCCTGTATCTCTTACGGTTTCCGAAATCCCAATGATGAGCGTCGAATTCGGGCCACCCTGTACAAAATTCATCACAGAACTTCAGTACGCTGATGACTGCGCTCTAGTTACAAAAACGATACAGCAATTACATATAAGAAATGCTGAACACATATAATACATGGGCATACGAGACTTTGGGGCTTAAGCTGAACATCGATAAAACTAAAAACAAATGCAGTAATAATAATCCCCACCAGTTATATAGAAGCGAAACCTGAAAATTCAATAAATATTTTCTTTCTATTTATTAAAAAAATATTCAACAAACTTTATATAATACTTATAATATCCAACAACATAATACTGTCATGCTAATCCAACAAGTTTGCCTCCTATTTGGTTTAGAGAATTAGTGAGTTTCTTACCAATCGTCTTAGCTGTTTTAAATGGCACCTATCAAATAAAAAAGGAACATATTTAGTTATTTTTTATGCAAGACGATAAAATGGTATTTTATCGTCGTGAATAAAACAATATTTTTTTCCATAGCGAGTTACGTTTTAAAAAATATTCAGAAATTATTATTTCAAGGAATTTATTACGAATAGAAAAAATATTACGCGCGTTGGTTTCTATGTAATTTGACAAATAAATAAAGCTGTCTCTTTAATTGTCAGTTTTGAGTCAATATTTTTTAATTCTCTTTCGTGTCGATTGCTGATTGAATTGGAGCCAGAAATGGCTCAAAACAAAATAAGTAAATTACCAACAGATATTCAGGCTGAGGCGACAAACGCCATATCCAAACTACTTCCATTTAAATCCCGAATAACTTATGAAAAGGAATACAAAAATTTTCAAAAATGGAAGTAATTAAAAAACGTGCGAGAAGAAATAAAGTTTTTAGCCTATCCTCGCTGTTAAAGTATCATTTAATCAACCCTTGCGGTTAAAGTACTATTTTATCTACTATTTTTGATAGATATAAGGCAATTTTAACAGTTGCTATGGAAAAACCAATATTTATTAATTGAAAAAATAATAAATTTATTTTTTATTTTTTTTGTCTTTTTTTTATTTTTTATTATTTTTCTATTTATTTTTTTATGCTTACATCAACGGCGGCATTAATGGCATTGGAAAAACCTTCAAATGCACCCACTAAAAATGTTCCGACAGCTCTTCCTTTTCCGCCATCATTTCCATACTTTTCGTGTTCTTGTATGTTATCGAGTAATGGCTTAGGATTCAGTAAACCAGCAACAAACTGTTGCAAATTTCCATATTTAATATCGGCTTGAATAGGTATGGACTCTTTCGCAGCGGATTCCAGCACAGGACTCTTTCGTCCAGAAGGAGGAAACGGAGTTACAAAATTTACGGCCTAAAACAAAGAGTCAGTAATTAGTATAGAGCAATAATATAGTAATCGCAAAACATTTTCCGATACACGTCATCTCAATCATATCGACATTGACAGTAAAGTCTATAAACCTGACTAAATGGAATTTTGGAAAAAATGTTTAAATTTGTTGTATAATAAAGATACCGAGCAGCTCTTCATTTTACTTTATAGAGCAAATGATTGTAACAGATATTTTATTTAGATTAAAGCTGCAAAAATTAGTTTAAACCGAATTTTATTATCGCTATGTTGGTCACATTGCGCCGTGTCCAGCAATGTTGTCCTTTATTATTTGTCAATTATCCTAATGTCAGTCATTATTTTGTATAATATCCTGTTGTCGTTGATTGTATGCAATTTTCGTTTCTTTGCCTATTTTCGTAGTTTTTTTTAAATCGCACTTTTAAGCACAAACAATTCTTTTAAGAACTAAATTTTCGAGTTTTTGTATTGCGTTTCTTGAAATTATGTGTTGAAAATATGCCAAAGCATTTAAACAGTCGAAGCAAAGAGCTTTTAAACAATTTGAACGTTGACAATAAAGGTCCTTTATTACCCTTGACTGCAGTCAGAGAAGTAAGTTTGATTGATAAGCACATTATACCACTTTCAAAGTCAGTTTTTATTAAATTCTGTGATTATTAGTTTGTCCATTAATACCACCCTCCTACTTGTTATTACCAATTACGGCGTTGTAAGATGTACATCAATAAATAAATAACCCCATAATAACGCTTAGAATAATCTTTATAATGGAATAATGTTTGCCAATACATATGTAATAAGTGAAATAAGACTCAATAATCAATTAATTGCTAAAATATTAGTTATTAATTTTAAATTAAGATTCATCTCATAAATCCATCACAATCTGGCAGCGCTGTCGCCACCGCTTGTCATTCAAGCGATTACCATAAGTAAAAAACCACACGATCAAAAAAAACAGCGCCAAAGACGAACGATTGATAAATGTGACATGGGCGTAAAAATAATTAATGTAGTTTGTTTCTAGAATAATTGTTAATAATAGAATTAAAACTCGTAATTTTTTGTGTACAAATTAAAAATTACAGTGAATACAAATAATATGTTATGAGGTGGCAACACTGCAAGGTTTAGTGTACCGTAGAGAAATCTGAGATGAATATACAAGTGGCACTAAAAAGTTTTTTTAAAATTTCCCGGAAGATGTCAAGAAAAATGTAAAATTTTCAACAATTTTTTTTCGCAAAAAAAATTGGCTGGCGTGTTTTTCTGGGGCCGAAATATACTGTACTGTTAAAATATCTGCACTTATTCCTGGGACACCCTGTATAATAATAGATGGCTACTAGTTACTATTAATTACTACTATTCCATTGCAAGACCAGACGAATCAGACCGGTAAACTACGGTAAAGAGCGGTTCCTGAAAAACATCGCTTTGATACGGAACGGTTTGGTAAAATATTGTAAACGTCAAACGTTGACGTTTTCTAAATTTCAATCATAGATAAATGCAACAAGTTTAGATTGGAGAGCCCGTAAAAACTTTAGGTCGCGAAATTATTTTGGGTCGCGACCGTTATACGCGATCTGACGCTGCTATAGCGGTCGCTAACAAGTCGCTAAGAACAACGGCAAACAAAAACAGAAATAATTTTCTCTTGTCAAAGTCAGAATCTTCAAAAATCATAATAATCTTTCAAAATCTAAACCGCTCTCATTAAAGAAATTCCGAAAAGTGTTTATAGTGTCCATTTTCAAAGTAATAATTGCTATTTTGTGAGTTTAATTCAACTTTGATTTACTCCAACCGGTGATAATTGTGGAAAAGTGGCATTAAAAACTTAAAAAGCTGTGCTGTGAACTGTGAACTGCAAAAACCATCGTGGATCGTGGCATAACGTCGGTTTCCAATGTTTCATAGGTATTTCATACATGCGTCCTTATATAAAATAAAGTTTCTGGTATGCAACACACTGTCTTTTATTTATAAAATTAAACGAAAATAATAAATTTGAATAAACAATATTTGGCGATATAATTCCGGAAAAAGCCGAACCGCTCCGAAATTTTCAAAAGTTTTGGGTAGCGACCGTTGCAAGAATAGCGCCAAATAGTGTTTACATTGTCCTTATGGGCACTTTCCAATCTAAACTTGTTTCATTTATCTATGATTTCAATACCTCTATTAAATTTATCTTTTATGCATTTTTAATGTACCTATTCTCTGCTTTTACGTTTGCTTCTTCTTTTCAATGGAGTTTAATTTTGAAAAGCACTTTATTAATAAACTGTTAAACTCGTTAAACAGCTCAAGTGAAGATTTGCAATATTGAATGATTTAAAAACATTCACGATTACTTGTCTTGTTTTTCATGTTTTCTTTAAATGTTTCTGACTTTAAGAAACAATGCTGCATGATAAGTTTAAATGGTCCTAAAAAGTAATTCTATTTAGTTAATGAAATTTATTTACCTTTGCAGCCTACCCCCATTGCTTTTGGATGTAAATACAAAATGTTATAACAAATTTTAGAAATGAAATGAGAATTTCACTCGAACTTCCAATATTTGTCTGATTTCTGTCACATAAATGACACTGATTGACAAACAAAACCAGAAAAACCAGCCTTCTCGCGCTGGTTAGTTTGGTGACAGTTATAACCGAATTTTTTAGGAACCGTGTTCCGTAATAAGAAAACTTACAGGAAACCGATAGAAACGGAACATAAAACCATAACCAAGGTAAGCAGCGGAATACACCCTAATTATATTGTTCGTATAAAACTTACTTTTGCGTTTACAGCTTGATCAATCTTTGCATCGACTGCGTCTCCTAATTTTCCCAAAGGTTCTAAAATTTGTTCTGGTGGTTGATTCGAATCGGTATCTGGTGGACCATAAACATCTGGCAACGTATATGTAGAGGTATGCGGAAAAGAGTGACAGACATGTGCAATGAAAACTATGAAAAACATAGTATACAGCAACATTTTCCTAGAAAATATTAGAACATGCTTTATTTTGAAAATGTTTGATTCTCAAGTGGTTCACCCCTATAACTTTTTTATTTTCTTTTTTAGATAAAAAAACGAAAGGGTATAGCCGGATTAATATGGGAAATCTGCCCCCGCGGCTTTTTTAACTCCCACTCAAGGGAGCGATTTGGTGTCAAATCAAAATAATTCACCTAAATTTTTAGCTCTTTAACTCAAACGGCTTTCGAGATTTTCAAAAAACCTGTTTTTTCAATTTTATTTTTATAATAAAGTTTAAAATTAATTAATGATGATTTTTTTTCTAATTCTTAGAAGTCTAAGACATGATAAAATAATATGGTCATGATTCTTAAACGAAAAGCCGATTTTTAGCGGAGGAAAGAAAATTAAAATCGTCATTTTTTTAACCTTTGTGAAATATGTCACTAATTAAAAATCGTCAGAAAATGTATTTTATACTCATTTACACTCAGGAATTTTTTAGAATTTTTTGAAGTGGTGGAACAATATGAAAAAAATTAAAAACTCATTTTTTTTTCTAAAATCTTCTGTTTTAACTAACTCATATTTTTGTTTAGTTTAAAAAAGTGCGTTAGAAAATATATTTTCGTTAAAAATACATCATCCTTGTCAGAAATAAACATAAAGATTATTATAAAAAAATGAGTATGAGAAGATTTTAAAAAAATGAGTTTTTAATTTTATTCATATTGTTCCGCCACTTCAAAAAATTCTAAAAAATTCCTGAGTGTAAAGGGACAGATTAGGTATCCTATAAGTATACAGATAAAAATCTTGTCCCTAATTCGTGGTACGAAAATTGTTTTTTATGACGATGTGCAAACGAGTAAAATTTCCTGCGCGCAAAAATAAACTCGCGTATTATTTCCTTTACGTGAGGTGGTATTAACTCTCTTCATTTATAGTTATCGGATCGGAAAGAATTCTGTTCGCGTCGCGTCCGCTATTTAAACTTAACCTAACTTTGAATTTAAAACTTTGAAATTGTTTTGTTTACTAGCTATTTTAAAACTAAAGGGCTAAAGTGCTTATTTCTAGTGCTTTATTGTTCAACGTCTGCCAGTGGGTTTAGGGCAACAAACAACAAATTCTCTTAGAAGGGCTAAGTCGCCATCTGCTTAAACCTAAGCCTCTTTATAGGTTCTTTAATATTGGAAGAGGTGGAATCCATATTTTGGGCCATATTTATTTAATTAAAACTAATCCCAGCTACTTAAATATCAAATTACCTATTAAAACTAAAGTAATAATTCAAAACAATTCAAACATAACTTAAAATAAAAAATCTCGCCGGCCGGCCCTGGTTGTCAAATACCCGCACATGCCCATTTAAGCAATTTTTAAACGTTATTTAGAAATAGCGCTTGTTGTAATTGATCCGCAAATTACGCCAAGCGGTAACGTTATTAGCGGGTGTTGCGTTAAAAATTGACTCGCGCATATCGTAACTGTAGTCTTTGTCGTAACCATGATCAGGTACGCGTAAATACTGCATGACGCTATTCGGTTTAACGATATCTCTCTAATGACTGTGCCGGTCAGGCGCTGTATACAATTTTAGAGCCCATAAGTGGGCGTGCTATGTGCGCAAACTAGTAACCTAACTAGTGCCCGATTCCGAAAATTGGAACCACGAAAAACAATAAAGAAAAAACAAAGTCTATAATCTGTATAATCTGTGGTAAAGGAGTATAAAAGACATTTTCTGACAATTTTTAGTGAGTAACATATTTCACAAAGGTTTAAAAAATGAAGATTTCAATTTTCTTTCCTCCGCTAAAAATCGGCTTTTCGTTTAAGAATCATGATCATATTATTTTTTCATGCCTTAGATTGCTAAGAGTCAAATTGTCATTGCATTTGATAATGAAAAAAACTGTTTAAAGTTATAAAAAATGTTACAGAGATGCATAATCAAAAAAAAACGGCTTCGATTTGATACACAACCAGATAATTTTACATAAAAAATTAAAACGATTCTCCATTTCCAAGTCAACTCTAGCGCCGTTTTTTTTCAATATTATTGTTTTAAAATAAATTTTTTATATTTCAATTAAAAAGGGATTCTACTAAAAGACAACAAAAAAATTATAGTGAAAAAATTAAACAATATAAATCTATTCGTGTTTTAATTTCAAGATATTTTAATGAAAAAATCTTATTGTTAGTACGCTAGTCCAAAAGATAAACGAAACGTTATACAGTATGTCCCCGGATTGTCTTTACAAGAGGATATAAACTTTTTTATTATTGATTTTTTGAGAAAAATTAAAAATTTTGCTTGTTCTACAGTGGTTAATCCCGTTTATAATTTTGCTAATTTCCATACCGTTTTAGAGAAAATTAAAAAAAAAACATGAATACAGGGTTGTTCACCACATACGACACGGAGTATTGTAGCTGAACGATTAGATTTTTACAAATTGTAAGTTTTGGGTTCGTTGAAGGACTATTAGAACTACAATTTAAAAATATTTTTACAAGATACAGAGTGTCCCAAATAAATAAAAAATATCAAAGTTGTATTTTTTTAAACGGAACACCCTGTATATTATTACATTTTTAGTTTCTACGATTAAAATAAAGGTAAATTTGATTAAGGTTTATTACACTTAAACCTTACTGTTTTTGAAATATTTTCAATTTTGTGAAATTGCAGTATAAATTTTAAGGCTTTATTTCTCCGAGGGTATAAAAAGCATTTTTGGTAAACTCTGTCTCAAATAGTTTCTGAAAAATAAAATTAATTTTTTTAAAAAGGAAGGTCCGATTAAATTTATATCTCCAAAACTAAAGTTCCAAGAAATGTCGTAATATATCTACAAATTTATTTACCCACTAGTAGTAATAAAAAGCATTTTTGGTAAACTCTGTCTCAAATAGTTTCTGAAAAATAAAATTAATTTTTTCAAAAAGGTCCGATTATATTAATATCTCCGAAACTAAAGTTCCAAGAAATGTCGTAATATATCTAGAAATTCATTTACCCACTAGTAGTTATAAAAAGCATTTTTGGTAAACTCTGCCTCAAATAGTTTCTGAAAAATAAAATTAATTTTTTTAAAAATGTCCGATTAAATGAATATCTCCGAAACTAAAGTTCCAAAAAATTTCGTAATATATCTATAAATTCAATTACCCACTAGTAGTTATAAAAAGCATTTTTGGTAAACTCTGTCTCAAATAGTTTCTGAAAAATAAAATTAATTTTTTTAAAAAGGTCCGATTAAATTAATATCTCCGAAACTAAAGTTCCTAATGCTAAGTTTTTAATACTAAATATTTAATGAAGTATATTTATTGATCAGTTATTGTGTTGTAATAATTAAAATTATACTACCTTATAAGAGTGTCCAAATTTATTTTAGAGTGTCTAAAAATTTATTTTAAATAATTATTAGCTTTAAACGGCAATAACTTGTTTAATTTAAATGGAACACCCTGTATATTTTATAAGAATTAGATGCACAATTTAATTGTCTATTAAATCGTTTTATACCACTTTTTACCTATCCCTTCAAGTTTTCGTAGAAAATGCATTTTCTTATAATTTAGACCTCATTTATCAATATACCCATGGAATGTTGACATTTTAGATTGTTTTTAAAACAACAAATGTACAAAATGTACAAGCTAGTAATATTATCGTTTTTATTAAAACGATAATATTACCTAGCCCATTTGTATGCAAAAAGAAAACTATTTAAATCTTTATAAAAGAGTATACCATTAATTAAATATACCACCAGTATTTCCGCCCAAATACTAATTAATTACATACTTAATTGTGTTCGTTAATAAATTATTCTAAATAAATGTGGATTTGAATCAGAAATCAATATATTAATAATAAGTTATGAAAATGAACGTCTCCGTTGTTATAAATAAGAATTTGTCAAAAAATGAAATATCATTTTTAAGGTTTGAAGTTTTTTTACCACACTGTCTAATACACATACATAATCATAGATAAAAGAAAATAATCTACAAGATAGATATGAAACTTAATAGTAAAATTTTGGGTCAAAGCGCCCCTCCGTGTTTTTAGTAGAGACTACGTTTTACCCAGCGCCTTCGCCTTTTCTGCTGTAAATGTTTTTTATGTTTATATTTGAATTCAAAGGTATTACTGGTTGCCTGCACAACCGCAACGTATCCGCCAGAAATTAAAAGACTTTTTCAGGCGCCATCTTTTAGTCAAGTCGAGAAGTAAGGGAATCAGACAATGGAATTGTCTGGTATGAAGAAGTACGCTTTCCGAGAATTGGGGAAATTTCGAGAAGCAGTCAATAGAGTATATAAGCCGGAGCCATCGACAACTGAGAAAGTTTTTGAAATTTGAATATACCGCGTGGAAATTGAAAATCGGACAATTTGGTGAAGGAATCTTATAAATAGTTAGTTTGTTGTGTGTTATAAGTTAGTAATTGTGTATAAAGTGAGAAAAATAAATTCGTTAAGTATTTTATCGTGAGTTTAAATTAGTGGACCCACGGAATCCGTAACAATTGGTGTCGGAAGTGCGATTCAAGAGGATTTTAAGAAGAAATTAAGTGGATTGGAAGATTTTTAGACCCAATTAGAGTATTTTTATGGTTGGTACAAGAGAACAAGCGAAGAAAATGGAGGAAGTAAGCAAATTATTGGGCGGTTTTATGGAGAAATTAGAAAGAGAAAAGGAAGAGGAAAAATTACGACGTCAACAAGAACAGGACCGGCTTGAGAACATTTTCGAAGATTTGAAAATTCAACGACAACAAGATAAACAAGAAGAACAGGACCGGCTTGAGAAAATGTTAGATAATTTGGAAATTCGTTTGGAGGAGCGACGTCAGAGAGAAAAGCAAGAAGAACAGGACCGGCTTCGGAAAATTTTAGAAAATCAGGAAATTCGACTTCACAAAAACTTCGAGGATATGAAAAAGGAGCAACAAGTAATGTTGGAAGTACGTTGCCAGGAACAGCAAAATCACCTTCAAGAAGCCGTAGAAGATCTTGAGGAACGCCTTCAGCAGAAAATGGAAAAATTAGAGATGGACCTACAGAAGACCAAGGCACAAGTAAGGACACCTGGCGTTTATGGAACTGCGAACCTCAAGGCCCCGACCTACGATGGACAAACCACCTGGACGATGTACCACCGCCAGTTTGAAGCAGCGGCTGTTGCCAATGGATGGACTGACCAGGAGAAAGCAGCGGCACTTGTCATCGCGCTGCGTGGCCCTGCCCTGGACTCCTGCAAACTATTCCTGCAGCCCAACAGCAGGAATACCAAACTTTGGTCGCTGCACTGGACAGAAGATATGGCGACCAACATCGACGCCAACTTTACCAGGCACAGATCAAGATCACGCCTGCAGAGGTCCGGAGAGTCTGCAGGAATTCGAAGCAGACTTACGTCGCCTGGTACACCTAGCGTATCCAGAAGCACCGGAAGAGGGAAGAACTGGCTGCTCAGTGCTTTATCAGCGGACTGAGGGACAATGAATTACAGAGGGCGCTGCAAATATCGCGATTTTCTACCAGCAGCGAAGTACTCGTCAGGGCGCTGGAAATAGAAGCTGCATTTAGCGCCATTCCTAAACAGAAGATAGGCTCGGTAACGGTTGAGGAACAGCCAAAGAGTTCTCACATACGTTTGGAGGAGATGTGTAAGAAAGTCGACAAACTATGTGAGCTACTAATAAACAACGGAGTCAACAACACCCAGACAGAGAACCAAAGAAGATTCCAGGATATGAGGTGCTATGGATGCGGCAGGAATGGCCACATCAAACGAGATTGTCGCATCCAAATGCGATTCCATTCACCATCCAGAGAACATCGGCACATCGGAAGATCCCAGGACATAAGTTGCTATAGATGTGGCAGGAATGGCCACATCAAACGGATTGCCGCGTCCAAATGCGATTCCGTTTACCATCGAGAGAACATAGGCACCAGGAAATCAACACTAATGAGCGAGTATTGGCTGAAGAAAACAGAGCCCTAGGATGTTTTCCGTTAGGAGTCTAGGAAAAACCGCTGACAGTTTGGTGATCAACGGAAGGTCAATGGTAGAAGAATTCGAATGACTGTGGACACAGGCGCTATGGTATCGTTGGTGCGGACTAACTCGGTGCAAGGATTGAAGATGATGCCTCTTAGAAGAAGAGTGTATTTACGTACAGTTACGGGGGAAATGGCCGTTGTACGGGGAGAGGCTTTCATAGAACTGGAGTTAGGGAATTTGAAGTTTCGGCATAGCGTTTTAGTGGCAGACATCGAAGATGATTTTATCATGGGTATGGATGTGATCAGTCAACATGGTTTTTCGTTTGATCACCATAGAAACATCCTGAAAATCGGAAATGAGGAATTTTCTGTATCTAAAGAGAAGAGACCAGGAAATATGGAAGAAAGATCATCGAAAATTGTGATGATACCTGGTGATACCACGAAGACAGTGTTCGGGAAATTAGAGAAAACCGCGGGGTGCCGTGTAGGATGGGTACAAATTATCGACAACGAACCAGATCGACGACGAGCTACCTTAGGCAAGAAAATGAAACATCGTGAAAGCACTATCAGAGTAAGGAATTTTAAATTGAGAACTGACGAACAATGGACGACGATACAATTGAGGAAAGATCAAAGGAAAGATCCAGACATCGGAGCAATACTACGGCTCAAGGAAGGTAACGGCGAGAGACCACCGTGGCAGGATATTGCGGACAGAGGGCTCGTTTTCAAAGCTCTCTGGGCTCAGTGGAATTCACTGGTGATTGAGAATGGATTGATAAAGCGCACGTGGGAAAGTGCGGATGGCAGGACAGTAACAACTCAGTTACTGGTACCAAGGAAGAAAGTCACCCAGGTATTGGAAGAAATTCACGGTGGTAAAACTGGAGCCCATCTTGGAGTAAACAAGACCTTGAGTAAGCTGAGAGACCGTTTTTACTGGGTGGATTATTGCGAAGATGTTAAGAAATGGTGTCAACGTTGTAAGATTTGCGCAGCTAGACAAAGACCAAGTACTCGATCTGGGGAAGAAATGGAACAGGATAGCGTTGGACTGTCGTTCGAAAGAATCGCTAGGAAGGAAAGATTATTGGACATTCATAAGGCCGTTAGAAGTAAGATTGCGCTAGCCAGTGACCGGATGAAAGCTCATTACGACCTCAGAGCTAATTCTACGGGATTTCAACAGGACGATAGGGTATGGTTGTATAACCCACAGCGCAAGAAAGGAAGGTCCCCAAAGTTAACTCCAGCATGGGAAGGTCCTTATACAGTCATCAAGAGGATAAATGATGTTGTGTACCGGATTCATCGCAGCCCTAGAAGTAAGATGAAAGTAGTTCATCTGGATCGATTGAAGAGATACCAGACAGGAAACCTTGATCGGGACGATCAAATTTGAGAAGGGGGCAATGTCAAGAAAAATGGCGTATCCGCCAGAAATTAAAAATGTATTACTGGTTGCCTGCACAACCGCAACGTATCCGCCAGAAATTAAAAGACTTTTTCAGGCGCCATCTCTTAATCAAGTCGAGAAGTAAGGGAATCAGACAATGGAATTGTCTGGTATGAAGAAGTGCGCTTTCCGAGAATTGGGGAAATTTCGAGAAGCAGTCAATAGAGTATATAAGCCGGAGCCATCGACCACTGAGACAGTTTTTTGAAATTTGAATATACCGCGTGGAAATTGAAAATCGGACAATTTGGTGAAGGAATCTTATAAATAGTTAGTTTGTTGTGTGTTATAAGTTAGTAATTGTGTATAAAGTGAGAAAATAAATTCGTTAAGTATTTTATCGTGAGTTTAAATAGTGGACCCACGGAATCCGTAACAATATATATATATATATATTTTACAGTTTATTTTTTTATTTATTTTACAGAGTTTCATGTAAATGATCGTAAGTCGACTGGCTGTCTAATGAATAGACCGAGATTTACAGATTTTAAAGCGAACGAAAAAAAAAATCAAACAACGAATACATACCATATATTTTTCTTTTATCTAAGATCCTTATTGTCTTTTGGAAACACGTGGATTTTTGCAGTTTCGTTAGTCTCTTTGCAAGATGCAACACAACAAGAAAACACCATTTTTACTGTTAATAAATAATAAAACTATTTCTGACTATGATATTTAAAATTTAGATAGAAAGAAAATTTAATAACAAACTAAATTCAACAAAAATCAAAATTTTTCCTGCGAAAATCGGGCTTCTTTCACAGAAAAGGTATTTTTTGATTTATCAGCAATCATTGTCAAGTTGACAATATACAGGGTATTTTCTAATTAGTCTAAAAAAATCGTGGTGTGATTCTTCATATGTTCTTTAAACAATTTTTATATAACTATTGGGTCTACCAGTACTTCCTTTCTGATCTACAGGGTGTTAAAAAATTAAAAAAATCGATTTTTTTGCTTAACATAAATGGTACACCACTGCTTTTTTAAAGAAAATATATTTTTTCTTGACTGGCCATCCTTTCTCAACAAGATTGATCTTCTGAGTTTTTCTTGTTCATCAAACGGTTGTCGAGAAAAAAATAAATATACTTATTAAGAGCCCGCCCGAATCCGTTTTCTAACGATTTTTTATTTTTTAGATTAATTAGGAAACACCCTGTATATGCATATCACAGGCAACCAAATAAACTAGTAACCTCCAAAAATTATTTTTCCTACCACTAGCGACATACCGTGTTTTTAGTGTGTACTAAATGATTTTATCAAAATTTCACCATATAAGTTTCCAGGCAATGATACATAATTCAGTTTTTTAGTATTTGGAGCAATTATTATTAATCAACGCAAACAGTCAATTACTGTAGTTTGAATACTGGAATCATATTAATTGGTCCTCTTTAACAAATATTTAAACAGTTTTTTTATTTTTTAATGAAATAAACGAACTATATCGACAATATTAGTATCTGTACTCTTTAAAAATTTGGTACATCTTTAAAAATAATCTAAAATGTCAGTATTCCATGGGTATATTGATAAATGAGTTCTAAATTACCAGAAAATGCATTTTCTACGGAAACTTGAAGAGATATGATATTGATGGTAATAATACAATTTGATAGACAATTAAATTGTGCATCTGATTCTCATAAAATATACAGGGTGTTCCATTTAAATTAAACAAGTTATTGCCGTTTAAAGCTAATAATTATTTAAAATAAATATTTAGACACTCTGTATAAGGTAGTAAAATTTTTATTATTGCAACACAATAACTGATCAATAAATAAACTTCAGTAAATATTTAGTATTAACAACTCTGATACCCTCGGAGAAATAAAGCCTTAAAATTTATACTGCAATTTCACAAAATTGAAAATAATTCAAAAACGGTAAGGTTTAAGTGTAATAAACTTTAATCAAATTTACCTTTATTTTAATCGTAGAAACTAAAAATGTAATAATATACAGGGTGTTCCATTTAAGAAAATGCAACGTTGATATTTTTATTTATTTGGGACACTCTGTATCATGTAAAAATATTTTTAAATTGTAGCTCTAATAGTTCTTCAACGAACCCAAAACTAACAATTTATAAAAATCTAATCGTTTAGCTACAATATTCCGTGTCGTATGTGGTGAACAACCCTGTATAGCTGAATTTTGATACTTTTAACAACAGCAAAAAATATGACTTTAATCAAAATTAATTATAATCATCTATCAAAGAATGAAATTCAACCATGTTTTCATGTTTTTTTTTTATTTTCTCTAAGACGGTATGGAAATTTGGAAAACTATAAACGGGGATTAATCATTTTAGAAGAATTTTTATGAAGAATTCCTTTTTCTCAAAATGTCAATAAAAAAAAGTTTTTCCTCTTGTAAAGACAATTCGGGTACATACTGTATGCTAAAAAACTTAATGCACTTACCTATTAGAGTATGGCACCAGAATAGCCCAAAACGCTTTACTAATAACTCACAAATTCACATTACCAGAACCTAATAAAATTATTAGTCAACGTCAATAATTGCAAGAATATTGAAATTTTAATAAACTCGAATAGTTCTTACAAAATAATTCTTGTTATGAAAAACTTACGTATAATTATCACACACACAGGCACCTAAAAAGGTCTATATTTCTGCCTTTGTTTAACTTTCACTTCTTGGCGTAATTACAACAAAGACAGAATACTGATACTTTCAATTCGCTGGCCGTTTATCAATGACAACTTTCTCTTTTTATGCGAATTTAATTATTATTTTTATTTCTAACATGACAAAATTTTCTTTAAATGTATTTACAAAAATTTTGAAAATATATTTAAAATTATTTGTTTATTTATAGGCGTACTTTCCATTAAGAGTTAAAAAATTGATTTAAGTGCAAATCTAAAGTATGTTGTAGGATGTATTTCGGGAAAATATTTTAACTTCTATAGGGTGGCTCAAAAAAGTGTGAGTGGATCGGGATGATTTTTTTTAATGGAACACACTGTATATTATTGCATTTTTGCCTTCTTTTCAGATCACTTTACATAATCCTAAGATATGAGTAAATATATTTCGAGTTTCAGAAATATTAATAAATAAATAAAAAAATATATATTTTTCAACCTTCATTAAAAAAATTATTACAAATACAAAAACTGTCATGAAATCAAAACTATATTAGGTATTTACTTTAGATGGTCTGTACTTACTTTGCTATAAATATAGTAATCTTAAATAACACAGGATGTACAAAATTTTACACCAAACTTTCTAAAATACAAAATAATTTTTCTTCGATTTTTTAATGGAATTAAAAATGGTATTAGAGTATCTCAAAATTTTTAACGGTTACGCATATATTTCATATGGCATTTTCCATAGTAAATGTTTATCAAAGCCATTCAATGAAGAAAGTTTGGCGTAGAATTTTGAACATCCAGTATGATTTAAGATTACGATATTTATAGCAAAGTAAGTATAGTCCATCTAAAGTATATACCTAATATAGTTTTGATTTCAGGAAAGTTCTAGTATTTGTAATAATTTTTTTAATGAAGGGGTTGAAAATATATATTTTTTATTTATTTATTAATATCTCTGAAACTATCGAAACATATTTTATTCATATCGAAAATTATATAATATACAGGGTTTTCCATTTAAAAAAAATCATCCCGACCCACTCAAACTTTTTTGAGCCACCCTGTAGAAGTTAATATATTTTCCTGAAATACATCCTTCCCAAGTCGTTTATTCTAGGAGCTACAGATGTCCGACGCACTATTGCCGGACCTTGTATAAACCAAAGACAAAAAAACAAATTTATTAAATTAAAACACGAGATACATGAGAATATTAAAAAACATTCTTATAAATAGGAGTACCTTTAGTATTTTATTTCCCTTTTCACAAGCTTCTCATCGTTCACAACATACAACATACACATATACAAGAGAGAAAAAAGTATTATTCGATAAAAAATATTAATCTACAAATGCATGTTTAGGAAACTTATCTGCTTTGTACAGATCTACAAAGAGTTCAATAGCTTCTTTCAAGACATAATTGCATTCTTCTAAACATCTGGAAAATAACAGAATAAAACATTAAAAATTAATAAATATATATGTTACAGTAAAAGTCGGAAATTCAGTGATTGTTAACATTCACTAGGAATAAATTAATATAATTACGCATTGGACCAGTGAATGTGGTATTTTAAAGAGATTTGTAGCCTTTTCCTAGTAAATTCTAACATTCACTAGTCAAAATAAAATGCACTAAGTAGCATTTACTAAAGATTGCCAGTAAAAGCTATTTCACAGAAAATTTCTTCCACAGGGAAAATACCGCATAGCACTTTTTACAACGATAACAAAACAATTATACATAACCACAAAAAACAAAGCGAATTTATGCCAGATGTCTGGCAACGTTGGCACGTTTAGCTCAATTTATTATTATCCTTACATCACCTATTATTCAACTTATCCTTATATTTTACAACATGTGACAACCGCGCTAACTGAATTTTTCAAACTCACTGCTATCGTCCAGGTAATGCTAGCATTCACTAGTAAAAGTTGGTTTCAAAACTAGCTGTTAACTTTTACTGGCGTAGTCTTAGCAAATCAGTGAATGTGAGCTTTTACTAGTAATTGTGAACAATCACTGATTTCCAATTTCTACTATAACATATATATGATCAAAAAGTTTTGTAATTAAGTGTGTCGACAGCTGAAACGATGACAGGCAACTGTTTCTATCTGTCAAAAATCCACTTAATGACACAAAACTTTTATTCTTACTTTCTAGACCAATCGACTTTTAGTTTTGTAATTTGCCCCAATGTGAAGACAAGCTCTTCACGTTCGGCCTCATTCTGTGCTTTTAAAACGCTTTCCTGCGGAATGAGGACTTCTGTATGGACCCTCGGGTCTTGGAACGCGTTCCTTTCCTGATAGCTCAACGCGTTATATACGTGCAATTGTTCGTTTGTGATCACAGCTCTACCTTGGTCATCAAATAACTCGAGCACAAACGACCTGGTAAACCCAAGCGTTCTTTCGTTATCTAGCAGTGTAAGAGGAAATTCTTTATACACACCCATCACTACAATTACCGCACATTTATCCTACAAAAAGACAGATATAATAGATATCAATTGCATAAATTAGCTTATATACAGGGTGTCTCAGAAATAAGTGCAAGAAATGCACAAATGTTTCAAGAAATTGAAAATGTTCTATTTTTCTTGGAAAATGTTGACAAACTTTTGAGCGCCACTGTTCACTCTCTCGAGATTTCTAGTAGCCAGCGGTTATCAAAATGTTTTTTTTTTAATTTTCAAATTTAAATATTTGGGCTATTTTTAATTTATTTTAAAAATGGTAAATATAGTTCATAACAATTGAATTGGTGAGTTCGAAAACCGTACAAGTCCAAAATTTGACATTTTGTTTAAAATTTGTCTCTTTATAACTTGAGCGTAAAAACCGTACTAGGTACAATTGCACCCGTAGAATGAGGAGAAAAACCGTACATGTCCGTGACTTGTACGGTTTTTTATATCAGCAACAAAATAGTAGCCAGTTAGTTGTTTTACTCACAGAAAATGATGATTGAATGATTGAGATGTCTTTTTTGATGATGTATTTTTTCTTTGTCCCGAATAAAAATTAAAAAAATTAACAAATATTCATTAGTTTTTTTTTTATATACAGGATGTTGAGTTCAAAAACCGCACAAGTCCATTCCCTCTTTTTATGTGTGATTCGTAGTGCATTTTATTTTTTAAAAACTACCATTAAAATACATTGCAAACCACGAGACCTAAAACTTTTCTATGCAAACCGAAATCATATGTCGATCAGTTTCAATGTTAAAAAGTTTTTATTAATTTTCTGGAAACGCTAATTTTCGACATGTACGGTTTTCGAACTCACCGATTCAATTAAACTTTTAGTTACGTAATCGCGGACGCGATTTTTAAATTCATCGTTGCCAACCATGGACATATTCGGCGCCGTGCTGACTAACTGTAATTTAAATTTCGCGCTGGGGATTCAGGTGGTAGCTCTGCTGCAAAAAATGTCATGTTGCCGCATTTATTTATTTATTTCCTGACATTGTCATTCGTTTTGACACTTTAGTTTTGTATTACGAGTTTTTGGTTTAAATAAATAGTGTTGTGATACTTTAAGCTTGAAAATGCTTCCTAACAGACCATGCAGTCGAACATTGTTCTTTTTAGAACCTCTTTTAATGCGAAGTGTACAAGATAGCTTAATAGCCCTAAAAAAGTCATTGCAACTTTATTAGAATATTTTGAACGGGAAAACGGTAGTAACGGCCTTTTAAGTCTACTAAGTGCTGTTAAGAAGGTGAGTTTTGTTGATGTAAATAATAACTGTTTATATATTTATAATTAATTTATTTTTGTTTCCTAGCATATTTTGATTAATAGAAAATATAAACGTGGGCAACGCTGTGCCGGTCAAGCTTAATCACGTGACTAAAAGTTTATTTGGTTAGAACTGTGGAAAAGATGTTTCTTTTGGCCAAATTTACCACTCCTCAAGATACTTGCACTGGTTTCTGGGACACCCTTTATTTTATGTACCGTTTTATATACCAAGTCAACGCTAAACGAGTATGGGTCGTGTTCAGTCTGAGGCAACTGATTCATAAATAAATTACAGATATCTTGTCTTCCTTTAAAAATAAAATCTGTAGTTTTAGAAAAATCGGCAGACTTCTTCAGGTTTCTTGCTACTATACTGTATGGCCGTAAACTAAAATAACAATTTATAACAGTCAAGGAAAAACTACCGGGTATTTCAAGTTCGACTCTCCCTATTGGGATCTAGGAAACGGTAAGAGACACAAGGTGGCTTACATTGGGGCAAAGTTGACTATAAAGGCACACATAAAGAAACTTTTTTAGCTTCATTCTTTGGTGACGTAAAAATCAGTTGTAAAATGGTGGCGGGAGGGGAGGACCTTACAGATCTATTGTGTGTCCCCTCACTGTGTCCACACCATCTTCAATTTTTTTTAACGAATATAAGTTTTTTATTTACATGAAGGACATGTTTTAAAAACACATCCAAAATTCCAAACACACGTGCTTTGATTAGGCTTGATTAAGGTTTGCAGCTTCAGCATTTGCCATAAAATAGCGAGCAATTTGTTACAAAACCATATAAATTATATATCACTGTAATCACAAAACTTCAATCCATTTCAGTATTGTAACGGAATTTTAAATTATATCTTTATTTTCCAGAAAATTTAGTCCAAACATGGAATATTTTGTTGATGTTTGACCATCAAAATCTTAAAAATAAAGAAGTTGTCAAAAAATGTGCTACAATACGGATATAGTATAATCGTTTAATTTAATTTCCTTCTTCATTTGTGTAAAAATACCTAGCCAGTTTTATATAAAACGTTAAATGCCGAACGCTTATTTTGGTACTTTTTCGGACTAGTGAAATGGACTCTTTAAAAGAATATTTTACGCGTTTAAAATAGTTTTTTTGTGTAAAAATAGTTTTTTACGTGTGAAAAATAGTTTTTTACGCGCAAAAAAATAGTTTTTACGCGCAAATAAATAGTTTTTTAAACCCATCAAAAATAAAAACGGAAACCGGAAATTTTCAGATCATTGGGCTCACAAACGGACAACTTTCTTTTCCGAGATCTCAATGGCGAGAGCTAAAATTTGAAACACCCTGTATAACGTACTGAGCACCGGTAGATGAAAGTTGATTAGGTACATATATGGTTGTTAATGAAAACAGTGCCTCCGTGTGATATAATCCTGACAAAAGCCTACGATCCTTTGAATCATACACAGTAAAAAAATACTCCAAAAATTGGTTGACCAGGTCAAAGCTATTATCGTCGCAAAGGTAGTTTCTTTTTGTCATCGGTAATTTTCCCCTAGATAAAGGCATACCATCCTAATTTGAAAAAAAACAATTACGTCAACAATTACTGTCTAAAACGAAGATATCTAACAACACTCCGCTTGTTTATAATCATACATATTTTAACAGTGAGCGCGTTCAGGGACGGTCAGCGGCTGAGTGGCTGAGTAAGCGAATTCCCTAAACGGTCTATTCTGACGAACAGCAACAGTCAGCCGCTGTGCAAAATTCTCAGCGGTAAATATTTAGGCTGAGACAAGTCAGCCTTGACCTATTTCCTTATCTGTGTCAACTAATGTAAAATAACTTCAATTTTCTCAGTTTATTGTTTATTTTTTATGGTTTGTTGAAGTTTATAGTCAATCGTAGTTAATCGAATCTTTAAAAAATAGGAGATATTTGTTGTCAAAAAAGTTACAAAGCAGTATGAACAGTGTTTTCCATAAAATCAATAAAATGAAAAATATACGAAATAATATACATGTACTGATTTCTTTCGAAAATCGACTACAATGAAACTGTGATCCCTTCCCCGACACAAACTGTACTTTGTGAGACAGGAAATTGTAGAGAGAAACAAGCCCTATAACATAGGATACAACATTTTAATGAACAGTGCTTTCCATAAAATCAATATAATGAAAAATATACGAAATATAATATACATGTACTGATTTCTTTTGAAAATCGACAACAATGAAACTATGATCCCTTCCCCGACACAAACTGTACTTTATAAGACAGGAAATTGTAGAGGGAAACAAGCCCTATAACATAGGATACAACATTTTAATGAACAGTGCTTTCCATAAAATCAATAAAATGAAAAATATACGAAATAATATACATGTACTGATTTCTTTTGAAAATCGACAATAATGAAACTATGATCCCTTCCCCGACACAAACTGTACTTTGTAAGACAGGAAATTGTAGAGGGAACAAGCCCCTATAACATAGGATACAACATTTTAATGAACAGTGCTTTCCATAAAATCAATAAAATGAAAAATATACGAAATAATATACATGTACTGATTTCTTTCGAAAATCGACTACAATGAAACTATGATCCCTTCCCCGACACAAACTGTACTTTGTGAGACAGGAAATTGTAAAGGGAAACAAGCCCTATAACATAGGATACAACATTTTAATGAACAGTGCTTTCCATAAAATCAATAAAATAAAAGATATACGAAATAATACATGTACTGATTTCTTTCGAAAATCGACAACTATGAAACTATGAACCCCTTCCCCGACACAAACGGTACATTGTGAAACAGGAAATTGTAGAGAGAAACAAGCCCTATAACATTTTAATGAACAGTGCTTTCCATAAAATCAATCAAATGAAAAATATACGAAATAATATACATGTATTGATTTCTTTCGAAAATCGACAACTATGAAACTATGAACCCTTCCCGGACACAAACGGTACATTGTGAAACAGGAAATTGTAGAGAGAAACAAGCCCTATAACATAGGATACAACATTTTAATGAACAGTGCTTTCCATAAAATCAATATAATGAAAAATATACGAAATATAATATACATGTACTGATTTCTTTTGAAAATCGACAACAATGAAACTATGATCCCTTCCCCGACACAAACTGTACTTTGTAAGACAGGAAATTGTAGAGGGAAACAAGCCCTATAACATAGGATACAACATTTTAATGAACAGTGCTTTCCATAAAATCAATAAAATGAAAAATATACGAAATAATATACATGTACTGATTTCTTTTGAAAATCGACAATAATGAAACTATGATCCCTTCCCCGACACAAACTGTACTTTGTAAGACAGGAAATTGTAGAGGGAAACAAGCCCTATAACATAGGATACAACATTTTAATGAACAGTGCTTTCCATAAAATCAATAAAATGAAAAATATACGAAATAATATACATGTACTGATTTCTTTCGAAAATCGACTACAATGAAACTATGATCCCTTCCCCGACACAAACTGTACTTTGTGAGACAGGAAATTGTAAAGGGAAACAAGCCCTATAACATAGGATACAACATTTTAATGAACAGTGCTTTCCATAAAATCAATAAAATAAAAGATATACGAAATAATACATGTACTGATTTCTTTCGAAAATCGACAACTATGAAACTATGAACCCTTCCCCGACACAAACGGTACATTGTGAAACAGGAAATTGTAGAGAGAAACAAGCCCTATAACATTTTAATGAACAGTGCTTTCCATAAAATCAATCAAATGAAAAATATACGAAATAATATACATGTATTGATTTCTTTCGAAAATCGACAACTATGAAACTATGAACCCTTCCCGGACACAAACGGTACATTGTGAAACAGGAAATTGTAGAGAGAAACAAGCCCTATAACATAGGATATAACATTTTAATGAACAGTACTTTCCATAAAATCAATAAAATGAAAAATATACGAAATAATATACATGTACTGATTTCTTTCGAAAATCGACCAACTATGAAACTATAAACCCTTCCCGGACACAAACGGTGCATTGTGAAACAGTTAATCTAAAATATTCAAAAAAGACAATTGTAAATAGAGATCGAGGAAGTTAAAGAAATAAAGAAAATTCAACTTGATTTACAACAACAAATTAAATTAAAGAAAAAAAAATACGACTTTCTGAAAAAATTCTAAATTAGCATAAATAACTTTTGATTGTAATTATACCGTCTGATCGACGAAAAATTGCGCCCAAAAATTGGGTATCCCTATATAAGTTTACTTATAAAATAACAGCAATCTTCATCTCCACGTCACCCCTTACGTTGTTTTTTTTTATTGTGTGGTATTTACCAAAGGTATTTACACCTTCAATAATTTTATTTGTACCATACCATCGAAAAAAATTGCGTAAAAGGTGACTTGGTCCAACTGCCAGTTCCTGTTATTTTAAGTTGTTTTGTTTTGGTGTATAGGCAAAGTTATTTATAAACTATTATTTTTTAGAAATTTAATGTTTAATACTGTATTGTTACGGATTCCGTGGGTCCACTAATTTAAACTCACGATAAAATACTTAACGAATTTATTTTCTCACTTTATACACAATTACTAACTTATAACACACAACAAACTAACTATTCCTTCACCAAATTGTCCGATTTTCAATTTCCACGCGGTATATTCAAATTTCAAAAACTCTTAAACTTCTCCAACTGTCGTAAGCGCTCCTTTTTAGCTGTGGTGAGTGTTTCGCGAACAATCTAAAATTATCGGGACGGGTCCGCCATCTACTAGTACATTCTATTGTCTGCTTCGCTTACTTGTCGACTTGATTAAGAGAGGGCGCTACAACAAAATATTGTCTTCAGGTTTCTGGACACGTTGCGGTTTTAGTTGCTCGCTTCTCCGACAGATGGCGCCACATACACCTTGACATTGCCCCCTTCTCAAATTTGATCGTCCCGATCAAGGTTTCCTGTCTGGTATCTCTTCAATCGATCCAGATGAACTACTTTCATCTTACTTCTAGGGCTGCGTTGAATCCGGTACACTACATCATTTATCCTCTTGATGACTGTATAAGGACCTTCCCATGCTGGAGTTAACTTTGGGGACCTTCCTTTCTTGCGCTGTGGATTATACAACCATACTCTATCGTCCTGTTGAAATCCCGTAGAATTAGCTCTGAGGTCGTAACGAGCTTTCATCCGGTCACTGGCTAGCGTAATCTTACTTCTCACGGCCTTATGAATTCCCAATAATCTTTCCTTCCTAACGACTCTTTCGAACGACCGTCCAACGTTATCTTGTTCCATTTTTCCTCCAGATCGAGTACTTGGTCCTTGTCTAGCTGCGCAAATCTTACAACGTTGACACCATTTCTTAACATCTTCACAATAATCCACCCAGTAAAAACGGTCTCTCAGCTTGCTCAGGGTCTTGTTTACCCCAAGATGGGCTCCAGTTTTACCACCATGAATTTCTTCCAATACCTGGGTGACTTTCTTCCTTGGTACCAGTAACTGAGTTGTTACGGTCCTGCCATCCGCACTTTCCCACGTGCGCTTTAACAATCCATTCTCAATCACCAGTGAATTCCACTGAGCCCAGAGAGATTTGAAAACCCAGCCCTCTGTCCGCAATATCCTGCGACGGTGGTCTCTCGCCGTTACCTTCCTTGAGCCGTAGTATTGCTCCGATGTCTGGATCTTTCATTTGATCTTTCCTCAATTGTATCGTCGTCCATTGTTTGTCAGTTCTCAATTCAAAATTCCTTACTCTGATAGTGCTTTCACGATGTTTCATTTTCTTGTCCAAGGTAGCTCGTCGTCGATCTAGGTCGTTGTCGATAATTTGTACCCGTCCTACACGGCACCCAGAGGTTTCCTCTATTTTCTCGAACACAGTCTTCTTGGTATCACCAGGTATCATCACAATTTTCGATGATCTTTCTTCCATATTTCCTGGTCTCTTCTCTTTAGATACAGAAAATTCCTCATTTCCGATTTTCAGGATGTTTCTATGGTGATCAAACGAAAAACCATGTTGACTGATCACATCCATACCCATGATAAAATCATCTTCAATGTCTGCCACTAAAACGCTATGCCGAAACTTCAAATTCCCTAACTCCAATTCCATGAAAGCCTCTCCCGTACAACGGCCATTTCCCCGTAACTGTACGTAAATACACTCTTCTTCTAAGAGGCATCATCTTCAATCCTTGCACTGAGTTAGTCCGCACCAACGATACCATAGCGCCTGTGTCCACAGTCATTCCAATTCTTCTACCATTGACCTTCCGTTGATCACCAAACTGTCAGCGGTTTTTCCTAGACTCCTAACGGAAAACATCCTAGGGGCTCTGTTTTCTTCAGCCAATACTCGCTCATTAGTGTTGATTTCCTGGTGCCTATGTTCTCTCGATGGTAAACGGAATCGCATTTGGACGCGGCAATCCCGTTTGATGTGGTCATTCCTGCCACATCTATAGCAACTTATGTCCTGGGATCTTCCGATGTGCCGATGTTCTCTTAATGATGAACGGAATGGCATTTGGATGCGACAATCCCGTTGGATATGGCCAATCCTGCCACATCTATAGCACCTAATATCTTGGAATCTTCTCTGGTTCTCTGTCTGGGTGTTGTTGACTCCCTTGTTTATTAGTAGCTCACATAGTTTGACGAATTTTCTACACATCTCCTCCAAACTTCTGTGGGTACTCTCGGGCTGTTCCTCTACCGTTACCGATCTTATCTTCGGTCTAGGGATGGCGCTAAAAGCAGCTTCGATTTCCAGCGCCCTGACGAGTACTTCGCTGCTGGTAGAAAATCGCGATATTTGCAGCGCCCTCTGTAATTCATTGTCCCTCAGTCCGCTGATAAAGCACTGAGCAGCGAGTTCCTCCCTAAATCCTTCCGGTGCTTCAGGATACGCTAGGTGTACCAGCCGACGTAAGTCTGCTTCAAATTCCTGCAGACTCTCTCCGGACCTTTGCAGGCGTGTCTTGATCTGGGCCTGGTAAAGTTGGCGTCGATGTTGGTCGCCATATCTTCTGTCCAGTGCAGCAACCAAAGTTTGGTATTCCTGCTGTTGGGCTGCAGGAATAGTTTGCAGGAGTTCCAGGGCAGGGCCACGCAGCGCGATGACAAGTGCCGCTGCTTTCTCCTGGTCAGTCCATCCATTGGCAGCAGCCGCTACTTCAAACTGGCGGTGGTACATCGTCCAGGTGGTTTGCCCATCGTAGGTCGGGGCCTTGAGGTTCGCAGTTCCATGAACGCCAGGTGTCCTTACTTGTACCTTGGTCTTCTGTAGGTCCATCTCTAATTTTCCATTTTCTGCTGAAGGCGTTCCTCCAGATCTTCTACGGCTTCTTGGAAGTGATTCTGCTGTTCCTGGCAACGCATTTCCAACATTGCTTCTTGCTTTTTTTCCATGTCTCCGAAGCTTTTCTGAAGTCGAATTTCCTGATTTTCTAAGATTTTCTGAAGCCGGTCCTGTTCTTCTTGCTTTTCTCTCTGACGTCGCTCCTCCAAACGAATTTCCAAATTACCCAATATTTTCTCAAGCCGGTCCTGTTCTTCTTGTTTCTCTTGTTGTCGTTGGATTTTCAAATCTTCGAAAATTTTGTCTTGATTTTCTAGAATTTTCAGTAAGCGGTCCTGTTCTTCTGCTTTCTCTTTTTCTAGTCGGGCTCGCTCTTCTTCTCGTTCTTTACGGAGTCTTTCTTGATCTTCTGCTTTTTCTTTTCGCAGCCTCTCTTGTTCTTCTGCCTTTTCTCTTCTCATATTCTCCATAAAATCGCCCAATAATTTGCTTACTTCCTCCATTTTCTTCGCTTGCTGTCTCGTACCAACCATAAAAATTCCCAAATTCGGTGTAAAAATCGTCCAATCCACTTAATTTCTTCTTAAAATCCTCTTGAATCGCACTTCCGACACCAATTGTTACGGATTCCGTGGGTCCACTAATTTAAACTCACGATAAAATACTTAACGAATTTATTTTCTCACTTTATACACAATTACTAACTTATAACACACAACAAACTAACTATTCCTTCACCAAATTGTCCGATTTTCAATTTCCACGCGGTATATTCAAATTTCAAAAACTCTTAAACTTCTCCAACTGTCGTAAGCGCTCCTTTTATATAGCTGTGGTGAGTGTTTCGCGAACAATCTAAAATTATCGGGACGGGTCCGCCATCTACTAGTACATTCTATTGTCTGCTTCGCTTACTTGTCGACTTGATTAAGAGATGGCGCTACAACAAAATATTGTCTTCAGGTTTCTGGACACGTTGCGGTTTTAGTTGCTCGCTTCTCCGACAGATGGCGCCACATACACCTTGACAGTATTGTCAAATAATATATTTTCAATTATTAATTGATCGCCACAGTAATAATTCTTTTTTCAAAATAATTTTTATTCTAAAGACTAAAGATCGATTATAGACTGATTTGAAGACGATTTATTTAAATTTCTCTCAAACTTTTATAGTAGACAGAGAGCGCATGAGACGGCTGCTGTTTCTTGTTGTTTTGTTGTTTTTGCTACTTTTTGCCGTTTAGGGAATACCGTGAAATGTCATAAATCAAGGGTCAGCGAAATTCTACGCTAAATGTCAGCGGTTGTGTTCGCTGAACGCGCCCAATCTGGACTAATCTCAGACACACCCTAATACTTATATTTGATAAATAATGATGACGTAAAGGTGAAAAATGGCTGAACAGTCCTTAAATAGTTATGTCTCGTTTAAGTTAGATGTCTTTAGTCTCTTAAATTTATCTTACCAAAAATTCAATTCCTGGACAAATTTCTTTAGCTTTGGAAATATATTCGCTCTCATCGCAATTGCATAAGGGATTGCCGCTCAACTTCAGTTCTTTAATATTAAAATGTTTCAACGACATCAAATCATCAAATGACTTAATCTAAATTATATAATTTAATGAAAATTATATCTAAACAATTAGAAAACACTTACTTCATTATTACTCAGATCTATTCTCTTCAGTTTCATACCAAAGAGAACCTCGAGAGGACTACATATTTTAATATTATTGTTTGATAAAATAAGCTCCTCAGGTGATAACGTCTTGGAGATATGTAAAACAAAATACATAATCTTTGGTTGAGAGAGCGGACAGTACTCTGTTAAATCTGAAAATTAGATGTAATAAGGGCTTTGAACAGTGTCCGGCGATCTAAGTAAAAAAATACCTTTATCTTTTGCAAATCTGTCCAAATCGAGCACCTTTTCGGGTATATTCATACGCTTTTGTAAAACGATCAACACATTTTTCTGAACATCAATTTTTACCTCATTTGTATTCGAAAAGTTTAATACTATATTTATTTTGAACTAAAACAAAACATAATCAACATAAGAAATAAAATTAGTATCAACTGAAACTCATAAATACACTTTTAATTTACTTATTTTGCTTAAAATTTGTATTTAAGTGTATGCTTTCGACTAATATAAAAAAAGTACCAAATTCGTAGGGTGTTATACATAGACTTAAAATAAAATATAGACTACACTATTTACATCTCAACGCGGTCAAACAATCTTTTTTGTACACATGTTTACTTCTGGGTACAGTCGACTGAGCCTTCCTCATCCAGCCTATGTTGTCACGTCTTTAATATTATCAATATTTTTTTTCTTGTTATACACATATATTGAGATATTAATACTACAGTTTAATAAAGTAGGTTTTAATATTCCAGAGATGTATTAAATAGTCCTTATACTACTAAATTATAAGTCGGATACTGTTTAAAAAGGATAAGTTCTTTACAATATGACAACACCGATTAGAGGCGAGGGAGCCTATTCATTCATTTATTACCTTGTAGTACGTGTCGCACGTGTGCGGTAAAGCTTTGTTGCCGCTATCTCCCCGGCTGTATTAACGCATTTTCTTAGCTTGTAGTGCTTAAGTGTTTATTTTATTGACTTTTTCTGTTCAAGAACTATAAAATATGGTTCGCCAGTGCCAAATTTGCAAGAAATTTGACTTAAATAATCCATTTAAGTCTTGAAACGACTTTTGACCGGTAGGCAACTCTCAATTTACCCATTGGGAGTCAGTGGCGTTGTTGTAGAAAGGCGCTTATTTAGATAATATTTTAGTAAAATGTAAAATCTGAATTTTTTCTCTTACATTACATTATTTACTTACTTACATTGTAACAAAATCATAATTATAACCCTGTTAATAATTAATAATGTTTTTATTAAAAATATATTCCGGTTTATTCTAAAATTATCTTCAGAATCTAAAATAACATACAAGAATTTTAAAATGATATTACATTATGAAACAATATTTTTTAAGATACCGGGTCGTCTCAAAAGTGGCTCACCCCTATAACTTTTTATTTTTTCAGATACAAAAAAAAATTGTATGTTAGTAGGTATATGACATAAATTAGGATTTATTGATGCATTCAATTGTTTTTGGTCTCTTCCTGTTTCACCGAAATGATTACATCTTTTGATTTTTAAAGGCACCCTCGGTATATTGCTACTTTATTCGATAAAAAATGACACTCTGAATAGAATGACTATCATATGTCAACTTTTGACATTGTCGCTTAAAAACAAATCGTATTTTAAATTTCAATCTACGGTGCCATGGTGTTGTTAAAAACACTAAGTTTCAATCAAGGAGCCTTGGAAAAATAGTTTTGATCGTCTAATGGGTTTCGTGTCTTGTTTAGACCGGTTAAAAGATGTACAAATCGTAGTTTTAATCATACATATGTCAATTTTTTCAAATGAAACAAGGGAGACTCATTGGCATATTTGGAAAAATCATTTTTTTATGAATATATTGATACCACACACTTGGTATTTCGAGTCAAATTGTCGTTATGAACCGCGTGTTACAATTACAATTAAACCATATGCGAAAATGTCAAAAGTTGACATATTATGCTATGTCATTCTATTCAGAAATCAATATTATTATTAAAAATTAAATTGTTATCATTTTCTATCGAATAAAGTAGAAATATACCGAGGGTGCCGTTTAAAAATTAAAAGTTATATTCATTTCCGGTGAAACAGGAAGTGACCAAAAACAATTGAATGCGTCAATCAATCCTGATTTATGTCATATACTAACATACTAAATCTTGTTTTTTATTTGAAAATATAAAAAAAATTTGAGGATGAGCCACTTTTGGAACGCACCCGGTATTATAAAGACAGTACCGTGTTAAATAAATGTAGTTTTCATATTATCCACTTCCTATCACCTTCCTTGCTTTAATGGAACAGATTTATGTTTTCTCTAATTTACATAATAAGACGTCACTTAACCAGAAAAAAAATTACAAAAATCATATATTTTTTCTCTCCCTGTCGCCGATTCTATTATATCTGTGAAATAGATCCTGTTTTGATTAATATTAGGGGTTGTAAATGTTTGACTAAAATTAATAATTTATTATTAATTTCAAAAATTATGTAATTTCGTTAATAAAATTTCTTCTATAACGTGTATTTTATTATTTTTATCCTTTTTGGACTCTAAGACGTTTTTTTCTAAACTTTTATTCAAAAAACCTGTCCTAAATCTTAATAAAACATAAAAAAGTTTAAATACGATATATTTTTAATTTAATTATAGCTTCATTAAAATAAAAAAGTTACCCGGCTATGATACGGAGAGTTCAGGTGTACCTGAGAAACGAAAGACAGTGTTGTGTTTCTCGGCAGAGTCGTCAGGGAACGACCGTTATGACAGAGACAACCTATCTATCGCTCGTGTCGCACTCGTTATAACCTAAAACAATAACACAACAATAACAAGACGTTGTCTGACCGCATGTTCCAGCTATTTATGAATGAGATGCTCAGTCTATATTTTATGGTGTTATATCTAACAAGCACCAAATAAAACTAAGTAACAACAGTGTAGAGAAGAATTACCGGTATACCGAATTACCAAATAAAAAATAACATCTTGTCAGAAAATTTTGAATAAATACGAGCTATTAACATACCGGTTTGTACGTGTTTGCTCCTGCAATCTTGTTGTACGGATGATCAATGGTCAAATTATCTTTGCATATCTTTTGAACGGCAGCTTCACAGTTTCGAGCCAGAAAGTACGAATTAGAGCTCAGACTGTCTTTTGAAAAGAAAACTGGAATTAAATCGCAAGGATGAATATGATCTAATATAGTTTCTAAAATTTCATCTCTCGTTAAATCACCAGTATTGTTGATCTAAAATTTGAATTAGAGATGTTCTAGAAACCGAAAAATATTCTTATCTTTATTAACTCTACTCACCACAAATTGATGCCAACATTTGGGATTAATTAGAAGGTGTTTGTATTTATAAAGGTTACCGGTTGCAAGAGTAATTTCGTTAATTAAAACTGAATCGGAACTTGCACCCTTAGACATTAGTTCGGCTTTATTATTCATTATAAAACTTATTAAGATCGTAAGAGCGAATAACTAAAAACAAAATAGGATCAAAAGTTGATTATAAACCTTAAATCAACTGAACAGCCAAACATCAGCCGAAATAAATAAACTAAAATCAAAACAAACTGTGAACCACAGCTGTGAACTGTGATTTATAAGAGTAGTTCAAATGATTTAAAAATAAATTATTATCTATGGATGAGAGGTAATTCGATTTGACTAATCTATGGATACATATAAGATAACGATTCAATATATGACATTTGATTATGCTTGAACCAACCCTGAAAACTAAACTGCATGATCCTTTGTTCTATGGCAATAATAATCACCTTCCTCTTTATCTATGGCAATGTGACAATGACATTGACATTGACGTATGTCGATGTCGTTTGAATTTGAAAGTTGAATTGAAAGGAGCTCTTAAAAATATAAATAAAAATAATATTACCCTGTAATATTTTGTATTTGAAAGTATACACAATAAAAACTGGTCCGTTTTTAAACATATGGTGTTTTGTTGAAAAATTATAGTACACAATGAAACAAATGTATTTTAAAGACAACTCCCTTGTGATAGTTTTTTAAATCCTTTTAGGATACTTTATTTATATTAGAATATATAGGTAATACGACTGTAGACCGTGTGTATGAATTGAGCACTTGTATAATTACGTATATTAAAAATAAGTCTACGTTTTTTTTAGAAATGAGCGCCTTTATACGACAAATTGCTTCAATAGGTTGGCATCGAATTCTTGTAGTGTTTTTAGTCCTCTGGCTATTAGTGTTAGTTCTGTCAGCTTTTCCCGGTCTAAACACTACAGCTAGCTTCGATGCCAAGTCATCAGAAAGACTTGTTAGAGCTCTCTCAGATTTAGAAACACTTAGAAAACAAAACGAGGAATTGCAGGAAATATTTAAAGAGATTAGTGTTAAGTAAGACTTACAAGAATTATTTCTTTAAAATGCTAAAATGACAAATATAATAAAGAGTACATTTTTAGTAATTTAAGTGATGATCAAAAAGAGGCAATCGAAAACTTTCAAACCAGGCTAACTAAGGTGGAGCGCCCTTATATCAAACTCGGTTTAGGAAACATAAATTCTAAAGAAGAACCAAATACACAATATGAACAATTGAGAAGACGGATATATACAAATACTAAAGAATTTTGGTTTTATATTCATTCGTATTTGTTGGATATTCAAAAAAAAGCCAATGATATTGCTCCAGAAATTGTAGACACTGTTAATCAAGTTTTAAGTCTGGGCAGTGAACATAAGAGATCATTACTTCATGATATCGAACAGTTAGCTGAAGTAGACGGATATGAAGATTGGAGATTTAAAGAATCTCAGGATTTAAGCAATCTTATACAAGAAAGGTTTAAGCATTTGCAAAATCCAGAAGACTGCGATACTGCAAGAAAATTGGTTTGTAATTTAAATAAAGGGTGTGGTTATGGTTGCCAACTACACCATGTTGTCTATTGTTTTATGGTGGCTTATGGCACAAAAAGGACGTTGATATTAAAATCAAAAGGGTGGAAATATCATAGGGCAGGTTGGGAGGAAATTTTCATGCCTTTAAGCGAAACTTGTGTATCTCCTAATGGTGACACAGTAGCCAATTGGCCAGGACATGCCGAATCTCAAGTAATAAATCTTCCTATTATTGATAGTTTATCTCCTAGGCCTCCATTTTTACCATTAGCAATACCAGAGGACATAGCACCAAGGTAATATATTTTTTTATTTTATTTTGGTTAATAATATGTGTTTATTCACTAAAAAATAATATTATTTACACCCTATACTCTTTAAAAAAATTTAAATGTATTTTACAGGCTTACAAGGTTACATGGCGATCCAATTGTATGGTGGGTTGGACAGATATTGAAGTACCTGTTACGGCCTAAAGTCAAAACTACCAATATAATTCAAGAAGCCATGACCAAGTTGGGTTTCAAGAAACCAATTGTCGGGTAAAAAAAAAAATAGTATAAATAAAACTAATTTGCATTCATAATGCATAAAAATTTTTAGGGTACATATACGGCGCACAGATAAAGTAGGCACTGAAGCAGCATTTCACAGGCTGGAAGAATATATGACTGCAGTAGAGGAATACTATAATCAGTTAGCTTATACTAAGAAAGTTGATAAAAAGCGGGTATATCTAGCTTCAGACGATCCAAAAGTGATGGTTGAAGCTAAAACCAAGTATCCCGATTATGAAATTATATGTGATCCGCAGATTTCCAAAACGGCTGGTGTTTCCACTAGATATTCAGACACGTCTTTGTTTGGAATTATTCTTGACATCTATATGCTTTCAATGAGTGATTTTTTGGTTTGCACATTTTCATCACAAGTAAGTATTATTTTCGTTCACACAATTTTTTACATAAAGTTTAGGTTTAATCATCCGTTTTTTTAATGAAAGTGTTTTGATCTGTTGTGGTGAACTACCAATAGTCTCTCCAAAAAAATCCTCTATGGGTATTTCGCCACTGCACTGCAAGAAAGTCTACAAAATAAAATAGTTATTTTTTGTAAACACTTCTGCGTTAATCCCAAACGAAAATTACTAGTCAGAAGTTAGATTTACAGCTATACAAATTTGTCTAACGAACAAAAAATGCTTAACGTTTGGGAAAGGTTATCTCTTTCCGTCGTCGGAAGCAAAAAAATACAAAGAATAAAGAAAAAAACTATTTAAAATATTTAAATTCAACTATTCGAGAACACTTTAGTTTTTTTTTAAACAGATACGTCTTCAAAAACTGTTGATGTTCTGTTAAAATGACATTATATCCAGTTAAACTTCAAAATTAACAATTACTACCTAATAACAATTACATAATAAAGTAAAACCAAAAAGCCCCAAACTTTCTGTATGATTATTTTTAATTTTTACGTAGGTATGTTATGTTTATTTATGTTATGTTCTTTAAAATCAAAGAAGCGATTGCCATTCATTACTAACATCTACAGATGCATGAGCAATGCATTTATTTTTATTAGATTGTATTAAAAAAGCCTCTTTTATTTTTCATTTAGAGGCTATCGCTTCTTTCATTATAATTTTGGCGTTATTAAAATTTATTCTGTGCCCTGTGTATGAATGCTGACAAATCTTAGATTTGTGAAAATCTCCAAAAAATGTAATATACCAAATACCATGCGAATGCGATAAATTTTACATTGGTGAAACATCTAGACCCTTAAATGTTCGAATTAAAGAACATAAAGATTATTTAAGAAAGGGAGATTTTCACAAATCTAAGATTTGTCAGCATTCAAGGCACACAGGGCACAGAATAAATTTTAAGATTTGCATGGGACACAGGGCAAGAACCTGAGGACCAATCAAGATATTATTTTTTATATTATTTGCAACGTTTGAAATTGATTAAAAAATTATTTGTAACGTTTGAAAAAAAAATAGTATGTTCTATCCAGAGTAAAAAAGTACTTTTGTGCATTCCTGTAACGTCGGACTAGCTTTAAGCTGGTCCGTCAAACGTACAGCCTCGTCAAAAAAAGGTATAATTTTTACTCCTAACAAAACAATACACGATTGTTCGGAAATAGTTTTAAGTCGAGTATGAAATCAGTATTATCTAATGTCAAAGTGTAAAGTACTTAGTGCAAATCGAAATGTCGGTAGAAATTTGGAAAGAACTAGAAGACAAATTGGAGAAGTTATCTTGATCAACATACAGATGTTTCAAAAAAGATATAAAACAGCATATTTTCTGACAACGATTATAGATTCTCGGGAATGAAGATATCAGAAGCACCTAGTGCTGCACTAGAGTTTGCTTAGTAGTTGTACATAAATTTCTAGTTCATAATATTTCCAGATGATTACAGTTAACATATTTTAGGTATGCAGGGTTGCTTATGAAATTATGCAAAATTATTACCCCGACGCCTCTTCTAAATATACATCGTTAGACGACATCTATTATTACGGTGGTCAGAATCCGCACAATATGATTGCAGTGTTGCCACACGAACCTAAAAGGCAAGGAGAACTGCAATTAACAGTTGGCGATCTCGTTGGTAATATATACATATTTAATACGAAAATGTATTTTAACTACGTTAGTGAGTTAAGAAGCGCTTAACTCGCGCATTTTGAGTGAGTTAAGAGCTTCTTAACTCACGCATTTTCATTACCGCACTCCTTGTTTAGATGACTACCAAAGAGAAAAAAATATTTTGTAAAACATTTATTTTGCACTAAATTAGAAAAATATGTGGTAAAGGTGTGGATCCGGTGGCTGACCTTGAAGCCCATATTTGCTGCATTTGATCATCGATACTACGCAAGCGCACATCGTCGAGGTTGCCAAATTGCAGTTTATTTTCGAATTATTTGAAGTTGAAAATTTTTTTTGTGTTAATCAATAATAATACAAATTCTATAATTAATTTTATAATTTCAGATTTATCTTGATATCTAAAATTAAGGAATGATATATAAAATTGAATATATAAAATTGTAATAATAATAAAACATTTATTTATATATTTACATTAGAATTAAAAATTATCATTTACTGATTTTTTCTTAATAGTTTTAAACTTATTAGAATTATTTTATTTCTTTCAAGTTATTTAATTTCTAGTTATTTACAGGCAACAATAGTTTTAATTATATATATTGATGTATTGAAGTACTACCATGACGAGTCTTACAGAACAATACACGTCAATGGGAGATAGAGGTAACATTTTACCTATAATGTTACTAATATAATATACTTTGATTATAATGTTGGTATCATAATTTCTTAAAAATATCAAGTTAGTGGATTAATAGCAATTTTAGACATATATTTTATCGAAGAGTTGTGGTGATAAGACTAAAATAAGCTTTATGTTTTATCTTTTTCTCTTTAGAAGGGTTTGTGTCGTAGACTTTACAGTATTTAATATCGTATACTTTGATATTCTTTTCTTAATTTACTGTAATTTCTTGTTTTCTATAATGCCAAATCTTGACAATATGGTGAAGGTTGAGTTTTGATCTTATTAGTTTTATACCTGTGTTTATACAAGGCCAAATTAAGACTTAGTTTGTGATTTATATTAAGATCTTTCTTATATTTGTTATGTCTTAATCTTAATACTATATTATGCTTTGTCTGGAAAATAAATGTTAAAATATCTTAATTTTGCATATCCAATTCCTTCCTTCCATTAGGAAAAAAATGGTTTATATATGCTAAGAAAATTACATAAATTAGGTGTAAGAATAGAGAAATCTTAAGGTAGCAGAAAAATTAATGCAATATATGTATAAGCAGATTAAACAAGGTAACTGTTAATGTTGCTGAAGCTGATTCTACCATTTTAATTACGGAGGCTAAAAGGCCTTTTAAGTTAAGGCCTCCGTAGTTTTGATGGAATGTTAAAAAAAACTATTATGAACATAACATGGAGCTACAGCATCTAAAAATTAAAAAAAAAGAAAAAACTTGGACACGTCCCTTTTAATTTCCCGAATTTTTAATAAAGCCCTTTTTAAACGTAGCATAATAATCTAGAGCAATTATATTAATTATAGGAATCTAGAGTTTTATTTCTATTTAATTTTATTGACTATGAAAATACATAATAAGCGTTCACGTGTTGTGCGAAATATTAAAATAATAACATAAATAATATACCGCGTACTATGATTGAAAAAAAATAGCGTCAGTGATGACTATGAAATGAAGATCGCTGTAATTGTATATGGGAAATGTCCTTTATCGTCATTTCCCAGCCAACTGGACGCCGTTTTTTCGATCATACGGTATATATTGACAAAAAAACACTGAAAAGCACATATTTGTTTTCTACTGAAAATAATTCCAAAATAACTCACAATCTGGCAACATCGAAGATGTGCGCATGTAGTGTCTGTGACTATATGCAGCAAAAACTCGTTTCAAGGTCAGCCACCGGATCCACACTAGAGATGGGCGGTTATTGGTAAAAAACCGGTTATAGGTTAACCGGAATTATCTTTAAAAAATAATAACTTAACAAAATTAACCGACACAAATTAACCGGTTATTCAAATAACCTAACCTAGCAAAACTAAATATTTAGTTTTCCTATAGGTTTACTTACCTCTACACTCTATAGGTCTACTTCAAATTTAGATAATAAACTTAGTTAAATCGCATGATTAAATAGAGATTGTAGCAATGTAAGTATGTATATGTACAAAATGAATTTAAATAAAAATGCTAACCTCACTTTTTTGAGTAGACATGGATATGATATTAAAACTAGTAATTACTTAACGTTCAAATAAACTACAACTCACAAGTTCTACAACCTACAACCAAGTTATTTTAATCGAATACCAAAGAAAAATAAGGAGACTGAATGAATAAATGAATAAATAATGAAAGATTATCTTCATTCATTACTTGAACTTCAATTGTGTATTCTTAGTCTAAGCTTCAAGAGGGACTTCAAACTACAAATAAAATATATTTACGGTGAAACGTGGGTGAAACTGGGCGAAACCATGGAAAACTTTTGAAGAACCGTTGAAAATCCGTTAAAGTCGATTAAAATTTAAATATAGAATTTAGAGAATCTATTTGAAGTTAGGTTCGTATCACTTGGCTAGCTGGTGGCTAGTAGTAGTCTATGGCATTAGTACTTTGTTTTACGGCCTGACCTGTCAGGGCCATTCGGCCGTTGTTTTGATTATTATCATCAGGGTTCGCCTGATGCCTGATTTAATTTTGACATTTGATGTTTGATGTCATGTTGATGTCATATATTTTCACTTGTGTCTAGCCCTAGCAGGCAACTATTAAGCCCGACCAATCACGTTAGAGTTTTTGACAAACACAAATGTATTAACACCCTTCAAATAATCACGCTAACCAACCTGATTGGTCAAGCTTAATAGTTGACTGCTAGAACTAGACACTTCTTATATTTTCGTTTTGGGAGCAGGATCTCCCGTTATCGTCGTAATATCGGGAAGATCCGTGCCGTTCGCTTCTTCGAAATTTACGATTCAAACAGCTAATATTTAATTGTTACTTGTTTTATACAAGTACGATTCTTTAAAAATAACCGGCTATAGGTTATTGAAGGTAATGCAAGGTTATTAGGTTAATTAGTGAAAAAAAAACTACCTTTAAATAACCGGTTATTTTAGAGGAAAATACCGGTTATTCAAAAAACCGGTTACTTTTGCCCATCTCTAATCCACACCATTACCAAATATGTTAGCTTTGTTTTGGTTCGAATTTCAGGACGATTCTAGAATTGCGCAGAACAAATTGCGTACTAGTTATTATCTCGGATCGGTTCGGAATCAATTCGAAAGAGCCATAAACCAAAACACATCAAAGATTATTATTGTTGCGCATGTGCGAACTGTTAATTCGTAAACCGTCCCTACTGAGAGGCGCGAATCGTTAGGACGATCCTAGAACTGTCCAGAACCAGTCCCAGCCGGAAACCAAAACAGCTGTGTAAACATTCAGAATCAATTCCGAACGAACCAAAACATAAAACGCTTGAGACGCATGTGCGAACTGTCCTAACGCGTGAACCAAAACAAAGCTTATGGAAATGAAAAGGTACTCATAACAGCTTTGTTTTGGTTCACGCGTTAGGACAGTTCGCACATGCGTCGTAAACGTTTTATGTTTTGGTTCATTCGGAATTGATTCTGAATGTTTACACAGCTGTTTTGGTTTCTGGCTGGGTTCTGGACAGTTCTAGGATCGTCCTAACGATTCGCTCCTCTCAGTAGGGACGGTTTACGAATTAACAGTTTGCACATGCGCAACAATAATAATCTTTGATGTGTTTTGGTTTATGGCTCTTTCGAATTGATTCCGAACCGATCCGAGATAATAACTAGTACGCAATTTGTTCTGCGCAATTCTAGAATCGTCCTGAAATTCGAACCAAAACAAAGCTATAGTTGTGTACTTTTTTTTCGGTGCACCATTTTTCATACTTAGAGCACGGCATATAAATCACACGACAGGCTAACTCTGCCCAGATCCCATTGATTGAAATTTCTATAAAATTTGACCTTGAAAACACCATTATGGGTGCCGAGTCAGGGGTGCAACTATGTTCATGTTTCAAAGCGATAGTAAGTAATTTTGTAGCTTGAGACACTATGTTCAGTAGCAACATCGATTCGTAGCGATATTCTGATTTCTCGCTTTGTGGCGAGGCAACAGTCTAGACCGTGCGAAAGAGTGTGGTAGTGATACCATATTTTGCAGCATTTGAGCGACAATAGTTTTGCAATGAACATAGTACCGATCTGACTTCGACATCGCTCCTAGACGATCGGTTGCTAACTTGAACAAAGTTGCACCCCAGGGCCGGATTAAAACGTATCAAAAAATTTCCCAGAAAATAAACTATTGATAGACAAGGTCGTATTAAAAAAAAATACTGTAATTGACTGAAACTGAATTTTATTTACACAATACTTTTATCTAAACAAATGAATCGTTAACCGCGCATACTCCTCGAAAAGTAAAAATGAAAAAATCATTTAAACATTTAACTGTAGAGAATAGACAATTAAAATTAAAAAACATCCCAGGAGTTACAAACAAGAATTAAAGAAATACCCAATAAAATATCTGTTGAACAATCTAAAGAGGCTACGTACAAATTATGTCCATCAATGGACATAGCAAATTTTGTTAATATTCAAATTGCACAAATTAACAAATCAGCTAAAGGAAGAAAAGTAACTGATGAATTTAAATATAAATGTGTTTGGCTATAAGTATACTTTTCCGGGCCAAAAATATACAAGACGCTCTTGACAAATCTATTTTGCCTTCCACGTCCAGAGACCCAGAGACACTAAGATAATGAATATATGACATCGATATCAAACCTGGCTTAGAAAATCTTAGTGTACTCGTATTTGAGACTCTGAAAAAGAAAAGTTGAAAGTGTCGATGAACCGGATGAACTTCATCGATATTGTGTTCTATGTATTGATGATATGAATATCAAGTGCAATTTGTTTTATAATAGTGGTCGTGATAATATTGTAGGTTTTGAGAACCAGAAGGGGAATAGAGAGTTTAAACCAGCTCGGGTGTCTAATGTTGTTATGGTAAGAGGTATCTTTACCAATGGGAAGCAGTCCCTAGCTTATTTTACAAGCTTTTATTTAACTTCCTTTGTATACAGGGTGGTCCGGACTGTATTCCGGAAACTTCGGCAGCATATTCTGCAGATAAAAATAAATAAAAAAGTTGGTATAAATATATGTCCTAAAATGTTTACTTTCAGAAATACAGGGTGTAGAAGTTTCATTTTTATTTCGATTTTTTCTAAATAATTAGAAGTAACGTCAATATTTGGATGAAAATTGGTGTCTGGGAGTTTTTTTGACATGAGAAATTTGATTTTTTATTATGAACTTATAACGTCATTACACAATTTTATATAATATAAAAGCTTGTCGCGGGATTTGAGTGTACAGTTGCACTCATAAAAATCTGGTACGACAACTTTATCTGTAATTCCTATATCTTGTAAACCTGTCATTATTCCCATCCAGGATAAATTCATCCAGTTTAGAAGAATATTTAAAAAACTTTGTGTCCGAATATTACACACTGGTACTCAAAATTGCCAAAATGATCTGGCAAACATCTTATTAAAAACGGCAGACCTTATTATGAAAAACAACGAGACCTCTGTTCTTTTCTCTCTGAATTGTCATGAGCTATCCATAAAAGTTAAAAATAGATACGGATGATCAGAAAAACAGTAATTTAGAAATGAATCTTGTTTGTCATTTTGCAGGATACCTAATAATAAAAATTACTTTGAATGCCGTAGGCAATGATTGAGTATTAAAACTAAAAGAATTTCGGACTTCCATTGTACTACTAAACTACAAAAACCAAATATATCACACAATAAACAAAAATAAAAAAACAAAATATATCACTCAAGAAAAGAATGAAATAAAATTAGCCGCACGTTACTGACTCAAAGCTGCCGTAACTCTATGTTGTCGATGAAAAAGACTACGACTGACTACGACACTGGTTAATTTCTGTTGCTGGCACCCATAATGGCGGCGTGCGCAAGGAAATGCGCGTAGCGTTCCCGCTAAAGCGAATTGGCCTGCCGTGTGATATGCGTGTGATTTATATGCCGTGCTTAGAGTATGTATATTCATACTTCTGTTTTGATCTTGCTGGAAGCAATCCAGAAATGGCTCTGAATGCCTCTTCTTCAATGTCAGAGGGAATACTTTCGGAATAGATCATTTTTTAAACTAGTGACATCAATATTATTTACTGTCATATTGTCATTGCCATGCATGGTGTTATTTGAACAAAGGTATTAAGGTAATTGATTTTTAGGATAGGTATATAGTTAAGTACAATAATTTTTAAAATTTATTGTGTGTTTTTATAGTTAGACGTAGATATAATATTGTACAATACACGCCAATTAACTCCATTAAGATACTTGTGTGGTTACACAACTCGTGCTAGGCACTCGTGCAATTTTAACACGCGTATCTTAATGATGCTGTTAACTCACTTGTATCGTAAATATCTATTATTGACTCGTTTTTTCATTGTTAAGGTGTGGCTGGGAATCACTGGAATGGTTTTAGTAAGGGCAAGAACCTGAGAACCAATCAAAACGGATTGTATCCTAGTTTTAAGGTAAAAGACAAAATCGAAGTTGCGAAATTTCCTACATACTCTGAACTATACAAAAATAAACATAAGAAACAAGACTCTAAAGTAGTTTAAGTATATGTTCTTAGGTTGCTTTAGTGTTTACTGTAACTTTGTGGTATGTTTCCTATTTTAAATTAATTTTTGTAAATGTTTACCTACCATACCAAATAAACTTTTAGTCACGTGATTAAGGTTGACCGGCACAGTGTTGCCCATTTTTACATGTTTTCTTTTAATCAAAATATTTTAGGAAACAAAAATAATTTAATTATAAATACAGGGTGTCCCACTTAAGATGGATACAAGCCAATATCTTGATTGTTTGTTGAGCAATCTTTTTCATTTTTGGCAGGAGGCTGTATGACTATAGGACGTACATTTTACCCAGGGTAAGAAATGCGATACCTCATAGACGTACGTTTTAATGGGGTTTGATATTTTTCGAGTCAAGAGTAAACTACCCTTAGGACAATATTTATTTCAAATCTGATATTCAATCCGATATTGAATCCTCCTTACCTAAGATACTTAAGTTCTAATTTTGATAAATATTGATACAGGGTGTGTCATTAAAATAAGGCATTTTTATTTTTATTATTATTTTTTTAAGTACTTACGACGCCACTGGATAAACAACACATTTATTATCATTAACCTATTATCAATTAATAATCGATTTAAGTTTTCAGATAGCTTCCATAATAATTAAGATACAAAAAAACTAAATATTTTCAATTTATTTTGTTTATGTGCTTAAAAAAATTGTTCGTAACAAAATAATTTAAAAACCCAGTTTTCAATGGAATCTGAAATAAGATTTTTATTCGTTTTATTGAGGACTATTTTAAAAAATCCAAATTGTTAGATATTTAAAACAATCACTATTATCTTTGAAAAATATGCTCTAAACAAAGATTTATAAAACTATAACGAACTAAAAGTCAACATCTTCGACCAAACCACCATAACAAAAAACGATTATTAATTGATAATTGGTTATTGATAATAAACCAGTTGTTTATCCAGTGGCGTCGTAAGCAGTGTTGTCAGAAGTAAAAAATTGTACCAGATTTGGTTTAATTGTACCAACATACAATCATGAAGCAGATTTTAAAGAAAGAAATTAGAGAATCAAATTTTTTTGAGAAATACTTTTTCGTTTCGATATAACGGTGTAATTAGGCTAAAATAAATTATATCCAAAAAAAAATTGAGTTAAAAACCTAAAATTACGAAACAAAATATTTCACAATTTCTGCATTTCTTCCCCTGGGATTCTCCAAACTGCCTTTGTGTAAATTTAATGATAGGATTTTACTTTTTCATAATATGATGTAATTACATAGCCAATATAAAATGAAAAGTGATCGCTAGAATCCAGAATTTTGCAGCAGCAGAAACACTAAAAACAGTAAAAAAACTGTGACTGTGACAGTAAACCATGGCAGTAAACCTCTGCAACCAGTCATGAACCAACGGAAGTGTCTACACGCTACACGTAACCGTCGCTTCGGACGGTTCTTCCTTATGTATAATTTGATCGTTTATATTATTTTGAATTCTACCGTCGGATGTTTTCTTAAAAATCATTGAAGTTATGCTCAGACAGTCAAATAATTAACAATAGAACAATATTTAAGCGCGGCGCCGGTCAAAACTGTCCGACGGTTACGTAGACACTTCCTAAAGCAAATGCGACCACCGATATCGCCATCTATCTTATCAGTCGCAAATAATAAAGTAAATTTTTAATATCGAAATAAAAAAAAATGAAAATCTTAAACGTTCACATTTTTCCTTGTAATATTAAAATAGTACCAGAAATTAAATTGTTGTACCACCGTACTTTCTATGGGGCTATTGTACCAGATCTGGTACAATTGTACCACCTCTGGCAACACTGGTCGTAAGTGCTTAAAAAAATAATAAAATTAAATATGTCTTATTTTACTTTGACAAAATTAGAACTTAAGTATCTTAGGCAAGGAGGATTCAATATAATTTATCAGATTTGAAATAAATACTGTCCTAAGGGTAGTTTACTCTTGACTCGAAAAATATCAAACCCCATTAAAACGTACGTCTATGAGGTATCGCATTTCTTACCCTGGGCAAAATGTACGTCTTATAGCCATACAGCCTCCTGCCAAAAATGAAAAAGATCGCTCAACAAACAATCAAGATATTAGCTTGTATCCATCTTAAGTGGGACACCCTGTATGTAAACAGGGTGTAACTTAAAAGACATAAAGGGCCATTACCACCGCTTTCCCGTTTAAAATATTCTAATAAGATTGCGATGAGTTTTTCGCAACGGCTATTAAGATATCTTTATACACATCGCACTAAGAGAGGTTCTAAAAAGTACAACGTTCGACTGCAAAGTCTGCTAGTAAACATTTTCAAGCTTAAAGTATCACAACACAATTCATTTAAACCAAAAACTCGTAATACAAAACCAAAAAGTGTCAAAACTAATGACAGTGTCAGGAAATAAATAAATAAATGTGGCAACTTGACATTTTCTACAGCAGAGGTACCACCTGAATCCCCAGCGGGAGATTTAAATTCCAGTTAGTCAGCCCGGCGCCGTATATGTCCATGGTTGGCAACAATGAATTTAAAAATCGCGCCCTCAATTACGTAACTAAAAGTTTAGTTGGTATCGCTTATAAGTAAATATTTTCTACGGCGGATAACGAGCGTTTTACAGTTAGCAATAATTAAATATTTTTTAATATATATATCCCAACAATAGTACTTTATCAAAAATCTCAATTTTTCTTCGCAGAATTTTCTAACGAAATGAGATAATGAATTTTACTTTATTGTTAACACACCCTGTACGTAAGATTCGTTAACTATAAATCGCTCATCAACAATACATTATTGATTGAAAGTGCATACTTGTGCCGACATATTTCTTTATATCCGTCCACCCTTCATTTAATCTAATTTCTGGGTTCATATAACTGGTGCTTCAATGATACATATTGTAATTAATGTTAAAACTTTAGTATAGAGATCTAAGTTCGTTTAGATTTTGTCCTAGATTTCTTGGATTTTTATACTGTGATTAAAAATATTACTTTTGAAAATACAGGGCGGTCCGAACTGAATTCCGGAAACTTCGGAGGCATATTGTGCAGATAAAAATAAGTAAAAAAGTTCATATAAATGTATGTCCTAAAATTCTTCGTTTCAGAGATACAGGGTGAAGAAGTTTCATTTTTATTTCCATTTTTTTTTCAAATAATTTAAGAGGTAACGTCAGGATTTGAATGAAAATTGGTATCTGGGAGTTTTTTGACATGAGAAATTTGATTTAAATGTCAATAGGACTGCCACTTGTAGAGGGCGCCACCTACATATTTTTAAATGGTTTGAAGAATAATAACTTTTCATCCGCACTTGTATGAAACTACTGAGTAAAAAATATACATTTACGACGATTTTTACGTAAAAAATGTCTCTTGGTAAAAATCGCCACGAGTAATGGTTCTCGAGATATTTGGAATCGAAATTATCAATACCTATCATCATTGACATAAATTAAACATGTTAACTAAATAGTTATTAGACTGAAATCATATTGAAATGATTTTGTGTCAAAAGTTTGACAGAAACTGTTTTTTCATAGTTTTTCACAGAAAAAATTATTTCAGTCAAATAGCTATCTACTCCTCGCGTGTTTATTATTTGTCAATAATGACATGTATTGACTATTTTCATTCTAAATATCTTGAGAACGGTTGCTCGTAGCGGTTTTTACCAAGGGACATTTTTTACGCAAAAAGTCACGGAACTGTATATTTTTTTACTCAGTAGTTTTATACAGGTACAAACGAAAAGGTATTACTCTTCAAAACAGTGAAAACACATGTAGGTAGCGCCCCCTACAAGTAGGAGTCATATTGACATCAAAATCAAATTTCTCATGACAAAAAACTCCCAGACACCAATTTTCGTCCAAATATTGACGTTACTTCAGAAATGATTTGGAAAAAATCGAAATAAAAATGAAACTTATACAGCCTGTATCTATGAAACTAAGCATTTTAGGACATACATTTATAGGAACTTTTTTACTTATTTTTACCTGCAGAATATACTGCCGAAGTTTCCCGAATATAGTTCTGACCACCCTGTATATTAGAATAGAGTGGGAGAAACAAAGATCGAGAGTTTAAGATATTTTTTTATATTAACCAATGCAACTATGTTTCTAACACAGGTGAATATGTATCTATAGATCATACCATATGTAAACTTTTAGTCACGTGATTAAGCTTGACAGCGTTGCCGACTTTTACCTATTTTCTTTTAACCAAAATATTTTACACATAGTTTATTTTTATTAAAACTTCAACTAACAGCTAAATGTTATAAATTTTTAACTATATCTCAGTTTGTAAGTTATAAATCGTACCGACTTAAGTTTACCAAGACATCTTAAACTCTCTACCTTATGTAAATCCGAACTATGATTGTAAATAAAATTATTTATTGTATTCTTTAACAGGCAGATCTGATTGTGAAATGCTTTAAAACGCTTTAATACGATTATTTTAAGTCTAATTTTTTGACATATCAAAACGCACTGGGATTTTTTTTATTTTATTATGTGAATGCTCAAAATGTCTTAAATACCAGATACCGATTCTAAACTTGGGAAATATATCCTGTTTATATGGATTAGTACATAATGTACAGGGTGGCTCGAATTCGACGCTCATCATTGGGATTTCGGAAACGGTAAGAGATACAGGATCGGTTAAATGGAGGCAAAGTTGCGCAGTTTGATGCTCAATAAAATGCCGTATTGCATTTTTATTTTTTATTTTATTTTTTTTGCATAAAATATTCTGGTGATGGAATTTTCTGTACGAAACGTCGGCAAATATCAAAGTGACTATATATAGTGTTTTAAGAGTGATGAAAGGATTTAATTAAATTGAAAAAAAAATTTGGTCCGTATTTAAAAAAATTAAGTTGGTGATGGTCGCCAGAAGTCGGCACGTCAGAGTCAATATTTAATCACACAAAGTTATAGAGCAGAAAAAGTGGCTATGAAAATGTGTTTTTCATTTTAAGTTATCTTAACAAATAAAGTCAGGAAACAATAGAAAACAAAATTGAAAATTCCGTTTTTTTTTCGAATATATTCGGAAGAATTATTATTTTATTGAGCATCAAATTGCGCAACTTTGCCTCCATTTAACCG